GAGAGCAGAGCAGGAGATTTAAGAGTTACAGAAGTACAAAAATAAATTTATTGAAGGGAAGGGATGGAGGAGAAGAAAAAGCCCGAAACAGCTGTGGGCAGGGAGTGGAGTGAACTTGGAGAAAAAAGTGGCAGAAACATAGCAAAGGATGCTAACTTTGCGGCAAAGAGTTAAAAAGCAAACATATCTTTAGATTAGCTTAGGTTAACAAGAGTTGGAAGGGACTCTCGAGGTCATCTAGTCCAACCCCCCGCCTAAGCAGGAGCAGTGGAGCCAAAAAGTACAGTTTCTATCTTACGTTGGGCTTAGTTTCGATCAAACAAAGTTTTACGGTTCAAAAGTAAACCGAAAGCTTGCTTCGGAAGCCATCTCAGTGTGGTTTGCCCAACAAACCACGGTTAAGGAAACAATGGCTTGGGGGAGGGTGGGGGGGTGGTAATGTGTGAACGCAGCTACTGAGAAGGAGGCTTTGTGGGTTTGTTTCCAGGATCGTGGCTGGTTTTCCGTGTCTGTTCCCTGTCTCTCTCGACACCAGTCCTGAATTCTACGTCGATGACCCGGAGGTGACTTCGAACATGAGGTTTGTAGGATGGGTGACCACCAGGCGATCACCAGTGGAGAGCACGGCTGGTTCTCACTTAACACCCGGAACAGGCGACGTTAAAGCAGATTTCGCAGGTCTCGGGGTCGCTGGCGATGGCGTCTGAAGACAAGGAAGACAAGACGGGTTCAAGAGATCTTCCCCGACACCCGTTCACCTGAGCGACTTCGCTCTTAAAGAAGATGCTCTACGCCACCCAACCTATCAACCATCTATGAGTGCTACGACCGAGTAATTATAAATCGTTAGAGAGGAAATTGGTAGAAGGGACTCTGGGTAGCTCTGAGCTTGGTGCTTTCTTGCAAACGTTTCATGACCCAAGTAGGTAACATCATCAGTGTTTGAAGGGAAGGGGGTTTGTGGAAGGAGGAGGAGGAAGAGGAGGAGAAGGAGAAGGAGAAGAAGAAGAAGAAGAAGAAGAAGAAAGAAGAAGAAGAAGAAGAAGAAGAAGAAGAAGAAGAAGAAAGAAGAAGAAGAAGAAGAAAGAGGAGGAGGAGGAGGAGGAGGAGGAGGAGGAGGAGAGAGGAGAAGGAGAAGAAGAAGAAGAAGAAGAAGAAGAAGAAGAAGAAGAGGAGGAGGAGGAGGAGGAGGAGGAGGAGGAGGAGGAGGAGAAGGAGAAGGAGAAGAAGAAGAAGAAGAAGAAGAAAAAAGAAGAAGAAGAAGAAGAAGAAGAAGAAGAAGAAGAGGAGGAGGAGGAGGAAGGAGGAGGAGAGGAGGAGGAGAAGGAGAAGGAGAAGAAGAAGAAGAAAGAAAAAGAAGAAGAGGAGGAGGGAGGAGGAGGAGGAGGGAGAGGAGGAGGAGGAGGAGAAGAAAGAAGAAGAAAGAAGAAGAGGAGGAGGAGGAGGAGGAGGAGGAGAAGGAGGTGGAGAAGGAGGAGGAGGAAGAAAAAGACTGTGGGGTGCACTTGATGCACTCTGAGCTTGGTTGTTTACTTGCAGACGTTTAATGACCCAACTAGGTTACATTATCAGTGTTTGAAGGGAAGGGGTTTTTTGCTCTCTTTTCCTATATAAGTGGCCTGTCCTGACAATGTTTGTGTGAGTAAACAACAGCCCAATTGAGGATCTGCCAAGTGTACTCTCCCCCAACGGTGACAGCCAAGCCACTTGTATATAAACGGAGATCAAACAAACCCACACTCCCTCCTAACACTGATGATGTTCCCTTGCTGGATCATGAAACGTCTTCAAGAAAACAACTAAGCTCAGAGAGCACTGAGGGTTTCACACAAAGTAATTTAAAAAAAAAAAAAAACTATAACAAAAGTAGTTCAAAAGAAGAAGCATTCGCCTCTCTCCGGCTTATTTGTTTAAATCCCAAGGGAGTTTTTCCATTTTTTTAAAAAAAGTTCTAGAGAAAAACAACAGCCAGGCAGGGTAGACACACTCATTGGAACAGAAAAAAGGTGGCGGGAGAAAACCAGCTTAATAATTTTCTCTTTAGCCACTTCGAGACTCTGAATTTCCAAAGTAATCGGCGGAGAAGCCTCAGAGTCCTCTGGAAGTATCCCGTGATGTTCTTCAGGTACTTCATGAGGACTAGCGGAACGGAAGGGTTAAAACAACCAGGAAGTAAGTGTCAGTTAGTCATCGGAAAAATCTTCCCAAGAAAGATATTCAGCAATGCCTGGAGGGACAGCGACCAAATTTCGACAGAAGCTGAACGGGATAAAAACAGTTGCAAATTTCTGCCCCGGGGGGTCAAGGATGGGCTAGATGACCTCCCGGCTCCCATGCAAACTGTCCATTCAATGATTTAGGTGAGGATTCTTTCGGGGGGGGAGGAAACAGGACTTGCAAACACCCCCCACCCACCCCCAAAAACCGAGGTCCTGACTTAAATTTTGGAGAATTTGCAATCCGGATGGACGAATCGCTGCAGAATTTTTCCGTTGTGACGTACAAACGACAAAATAACACAACTCTCGGGGGGGGGAGGCAGGGGGGTTTACGCAACTTTCGGAGCCGTGAAGCAGGTATGGCCAAATGACCATCGCCGGGCTCACGCCTCGCGGGATGAGGAGTCCTCGATGTACGACCTTCACTTAACAGCCGTGTTACGGTAGTGGCCAAAATGGTGGAAACCTTTTGGGGAAAGTTGTATTTTTGAGGTTTGGTGGGTAATAACACCACTATTTTGGGGGGGAGTTTCAAGATCATCCTATTCCACTGCCTGGGAATAGCCTAGACCTTAACCCAATTGAAAATCTATGGATTTTCCGACTCAAGAAACTGGTTAGTCAGAAGCGACCCAGCCATAAAACCCAGTTAATGGAAGCCGTCATTCCATCTTGGTTTGACATGATAACAGCTGCAGAACTCAAAGGCTTGGTTCATTCCGTGGGAAATAAATAAATAAATAAATAAATAAATAAATAAATAAATAAATAAATAAATAAATAAGTAAGTAAGTAAGTAAGTAAGTAAGTAAGTAAGTAAATAAATAAATAAATAAGACGTTGTAAGGCCGTCATTCATGCTAAAAGTTACCCAACGAAGGATTAACCGACATGGGGATCATTTTTGCATATCTCGTTTTTTTTTTCTACGTGTTTTACTTTTCTTCTTTATACGGTGACGGCTATTCTAATCGCAAATCCTTCATTAAAGTTATGGCGTTACATTCTTCATTAAATTATCTTTCCATGGATATATAATTTTATGGTACTACTCCCCCCAAAAAAGTGGTGTGATTAGCTACTTTTAGAAAATTACACTTTTCCCGAAAGTTTTCCACAATTTTGCTGTATATAGGTAGTCATTCGTCCACTGTGGGAATCAAAACGTCCTTCCGTTTTGGGGCATAAAATTCGAGCCGTCGCCGACTTACGACCCACAACTGAGCCCCAAATTTCCAGCTGCTAAGCGAGACGTGCGCTAAGTGAATTTTGCTCCCAGTTTTACGATGTTTCTTACCGCCGCGGCAGTTTGCGAATCGCTCACCCCGGTGGTTAAGCGAATCTGGCTCCTCCGTTGGGTTTGCTCGCCCGAAGGTCGCAAAAGGGGAATGTTGCGACCGTCATAAATGTGAGCCGCTGGCCGAAAACATCTGGGTTTTAATCACCCGGCCCTGGGGAGGCTGCAATGGTCGTAAGTGTGAAACAGTCACGTTTTTTCAGTGCCGTTGTCACTCCCTAAAGGAATGGTTAGCCTGTCCAGTACTCATTTAACAACGGCAGCGATTTGCTTAACAACGGTGGCAAAACTCACTTAATAGATGTTTCGCTTAGCGACGTACATGGGGGGGCCTCAAATGTGGTCGTAACTCAAGGATTCCAATGAAGCTCCTTTGAGGTTTAACTCAGTCAGTTTTACCTACCGAGGGTTCGAAACACAGCAGCAACTTTCGGCGTGGAGCAGAGAGGCGCGAATTCACTGGGAAGTTCGGGGTCTAAGCAAGCAGGCTCCAGTCCCCTGCTTCGGAAACGGGGGTTTTGGGGTGCAGCATCCAGAACCTTCTTCAAGGCTTTGATCGAATCCAAGAGAAGGACATATTTTGGACCTGGGCAGGATGGACAGACGAAAAAAAAAACCCCATATTTCTCGCTTCTCAAAAAGCTCCAGAAATGGAGCACCCAAAACTTCTGGAGGTGATTTTAATTGATTTGGGATTCGAATGAGAGAATAGCAGAGTCGGAAGGGACCTCGGAGGTCTTCTAGTCCAACCCACTGCTCAGGCAGAAAACTCTATATACCATTTCAGAAAAAGGGCTGTCCAATCTCTTCTGAAAAACCTCCAGTGATGGAGAAGGAAGGAAGGAAGGAAGGAAGGAAGGAAGGAAGGAAAGATGTGATGGATGGGAAGGAAGGAAGGAAGGGATGGATAGGAAGGAAGGAAGTGAAGAGGGAGGGAGGGAAGCAAGGACGGAAGAAGGAAGGAAGGAGGGAGGAAGGGAGGGAGGGAGGAAGGAAGGAAGGGATGGATAGGAAGGAAGGAAGCGAAGAGGGATGGAAGGAAGGAAGGAAGGAAGGAAGGAAGGAAGGAAAAAGAATAGCAAAATAACAGAATAACAGGGTTATCTCTTTCTCTCTCTTTCTTTCTCTCTCTCTCTCTCTCTTTGCACAGTTTTTAAATATATTTACTTAATTTAAAATAGAAGATTGCTCTATTTTGTAGCTGCACTGGTTACTCTTTTTCTACATATTTTTTTTTTTCTACTACCTTTTACATTTCCCTCCATTTTTACACTTCCCATGTTTCCCCCCCCCGCCCTTTGTGTTATTTTGTATTTACCAATCAAATTTATTTTTATTTATTTTATTCAATTTGTATACCGCCCTTCTCCTAGTGGACTCAGGGCGGTGGACAGCCAGAACTAAAACACATGCCAATACAAAATTTAAAATTATTAAAAGAATTATTTTAAAAATTATTTGCCAAGGGGGGGTGGGGAAAGGAAAGAAAAGAAAGAAGAAGAAAGAAAGAAAGAAAGAAAGAAGAAAGAAGAAAGAAAGAAAGAAAGAAAGAAAAAAGAAGAAAGAAAGAAAGAAAGAAAGAAAGAAAGAAAGAAAGAAAGAAAGAAAGAAAGAAAGAAAGATTGAAGTTCTCCAGAGAGACCCTGGACAACAGAGGTCCATCCTTTGGACATCTAACTCAGCATTAAGCAAATCCCAGCTTCTCACTCTCCTAACCCAAAGAGCAATCCTCAACTACTACACACCGTAAATATTACCTGGACGGTGATGCCTTCGGCGAGGACCGGCAGGAGGCACAAAGCAAGAATCAACATCCAAGAAGACTTCATGGCGGAACGGTGATTCTAGCTCTTCCTTAGCCCGGGGAAGACAAGCGAGACCTTTGACTTTGACGGCGAGAAAATGGTGCTTTTAAAAAGGGAATCCTGGGTTACTGAATAACTAGGATCTCATGGCACTGGTTAGGACGGTGGTTGTAAAACAGAAACAAGTCCGAACCGCAAACAATCCAAGGATGGGGTGCGGCGTTGAGCAATGTTAGACGTCATTTTTATGGCCGTCCTTCAGAACTGAGGGACGCGGTTGAAGTGTGGGGCGATGGCCCCCACCCTCCCACTCCCCAGGGAAAGGACATCCACCGAGGAGAGATCTCGCTGGCCCGCGAGCCGCACCTGTTGAATTAAACTTGACGGGAACGGGACGGGACGTTAAATTAAAAAATTAAAATGAAAAGGATGTCTTCAGAATTGGAGGTGGCTTGCTAGGTTTCCTTCAGGGGTGGGGATTCAGCCGGTTCGCACCACTTCGGCCGAACCGGTTGTTAACTTTCTGAGCAGTTTGATGGACTGATTGCTGGAAGAAAGAATTAAGGCAGAGAACCGGTTGTTAAATTATTTGAATCCCACTACTGGTTTGCTTCCTAGATTTACCTCCAGCTAACCCTGGTGTGAAGGAGCATAAAGGGCTTCACACATGCGAGTTCAGATGAAGGGAAGGGTCGGGGGGAAGACCTTGAGCCAGGTCTCAAGGTTTTTCTTGAGAATGAGGTTACGGGTTTGGGGGGGGGTCCTCGGCGCTCTCTGAGCTTGGCTGTTTTCTTGTGGACATTTCACGACCCAGCTAAGGGACGTCATCAGTGCTAGAAGGCGATGGGGGTTTGAGGAGAGGAGGAGGAGGATTGTGGGGCCCTTGGGGCTCTCTGAGCTTGGCTGTTTTCTTGTGGACGTTTCACGACCCACTTAGGGAACATCATCAGTGCTGGCAGGGAGTGGGGTTTGCGTTCTGTTTATATACAAGTAGCTTTGCTTGCAGACAGCAACCCCTGCTCCCTTCTAGCACTGATGATGTTGCCTAGTTGGGTTATTAAATGTCTGCAAGTAAATAACCAAGTTCAGAAAGCACCAGGGATTCCACAGTCCTCCTTCTCTTTCTCCTTCTCTTTCTGCTCCTCTTCCTTCTTCTTTCCTCCTCCTCATTCCCTTCCCCCTCTCTTTTTTCTTTCTTCCTTTCTCCTTCTCCATCGTTACTTCTTCTTTCCTTTTCCCAATTCTTTCTCCTTTCCCTTCTCCTCCCTTCCTCCTTCTCCCTTCTTTCCTTCTTCCTTCTCCTTCTCCGTCACCTTCTCCTTCTTTCCTTCTCCTCCCCTCCCCTGTTCTTTCTTCCTTTTTCTCTTTCTCCTCCTCTCTCTCTGTCTCCTCCTCCTCCTCCTCTCTCTTCTTTCCTTCTTCCTTCTCCCGCTCCTTCTCTGAGTGACTGTGCACAGGGAATCCCGATCAAGAAAGGGCCGCAACTGGCGAATCAGGCGAACCTGACAAAAGGTCCCCCTGGTTACAGCCGTCAGATGTTCCTCCAAGGACAGCTGCATATCCAGGAGGACTCCCAGATTGCGAGCCTTCTCTGTGGGGGCCAATGACTCGCCCCCAATAGTCAGTGATGGAGTCAACTGACTATATCGGGATGCCGGGAGCCACAGCCACTCAGTCTTGGAAGGGTTGAGCTTGAGCCTGTTCCTCCCCATCCAGACCCGTACAGCCTCCAGGCACTGGGACATCACTTCAAGGGCATCGTTGGGGTGGCCTGGGGTGGAGATGTACAGCTGGGTGTCATCAGCGTACTGGTGGTATCTCACCCCAAAGCCACGGATGATCTCACCCAGCGGCTTCACATAAATGTTGAACAGAAGGGGCGAGAGGACCGATCCCTGCGGCACTCCACAAATGAGAGGCCTCGAGGTCGACCTCTGCCCCCCTGCCAACACAAACTGCGACCGGTCGGAGAGAAAGGAGGAGAACCACCGCAACACGGTGCCTCCCACCCCCAACTCTTCCAGCCGGTGCAGCATGATACCATGGTCGATGGTATCAAAAGCCGCTGAGAGGTCTAACAGGACCAGAACAGAGGAACAACCCCTGTCCCGAGCCCTCCAGAGATCATCAACCAACGCGACCAATGCCGTTTCTGTGCTGTGCCCAGACCTGAAACCCGACTGGAACGGATCTAGATAAGATGTTTCCTCCAGGAATTGCGGAAACTGTCGTGCGACCACACTCTCAACAACCTTCGCCATAAAGCGAAGGTTGGAGACAGGACGATAGTTGGCCAATATTGCCGGATCCAGGGACGGCTTCTTGAGGAGAGGCCTCACCACCGCCTCTTTCAAGGCGGTGGGGAAGTAACCCTCACTCAACGAAGCGTTGATAACACCCTGGAGCCAGCCTCGTGTAACCTCCCGGGAAGCCAGTACCAACCAGGAGGGACACGGGTCCAGTAAACATGTGGCCGCACTAAGTCTCCCCAAAATCCTGTCCACATCATCAGGAGTCACAGCATCAAACTCCTCCCAGATAACATTCTCAAGACTATTCCTCGTCACCCTGCCCTGATCTACCCAGTCAGAGTCCAAATCCCCCCGGATCTGGGCGATTTTGTCATACAGGTATTGTCCGAAATCCTCCGCCCTGCCTTCTAAGGGATCCTCCCGCACTCCTGGATGGAGCAGGGCGCGGGTCACCCTAAACAGGGCAGCCGGACGATTCCCTGATGACGCAATAGAGGCGGAAAAGTAGTTAGACTTTGCCGTCTCTATCGCCACTAGGTAGGCCTTAATATGCGACCTTACCAGTGTTCGATCAGATTCAGCGAGACTGGCCCTCCAACCGCTCTCCAGGCGTCTTTTCCGGCGCTTCATTTCCCTCAGCTCCTCAGTAAACCAAGGAGCCGCACGGGATCGGCATCGGGTCAGAGGCCGCAAAGGCACAACTCGGTCCAAGGCCCCACCAGCCGCCCGATCCCAGGCGGCTACCAGGTCCTCGGCCGAGTCATGTGCTAGATCCTCAGGAAATGGCCCAAGCTCCGTCTGGAACCTATCAGGATCCATCAGGCGCCTGGGGCGGATCCATCTAATTGGATCCACCTCCCTGCGGCGAGGGGTCGCGGTTCGAAGATCTAGGCGAAGGAGTGAGTGGTCAGACCATGACAAGGGTTCCATGTCTATATCCCCTATAACAAGACCACTCAACCACTGGCCAGAGACAAAAATCAGATCCAGAGTGTGACCTCCCCTGTGAGTAGGGCCATGAACTAACTGGGTCAGGTCCATGGCCGTCATGGAAGCCATGAACTCCCGAGCCACCTCAGACGTTTCACCGACGGATGGCAAGTTGAAATCACCCATGACTAAAAGCCTGGGTGTATCTACTGCCACCGTGGCTATCACGTCGAGTAGCTCAGGTAGGGCTGTTGCCACGCGGCAGGGAGCCAGGTACGTAAGCAACAAGCCCATCTGAACCCCACGGCCCCACCTCACAAGGAGGGACTCACATCCGGCTATCTGAGGCACAGTGGTCTCCCTCGGACCCAGATCCTCGTTAATAATAACCGCCACCCCCCCGCCCCTCCCCTGAGCCCTCGGCTGATGGAATGCTCTGAAGCCTGGTGGGCACATTTCAACCAGAGGGACGCCACCCTCCGGGCCCAACCAGGTCTCCGTAATACCCGCCAGGTCCGCTCCTCCCTCTTGTATAAGATCGTGAATGAGGGGGGCCTTATTGACCACGGACCTGGCATTGCACAGCATCAGCCGAAGGCCCAGCTCCTGAGTATCTAAGCCACCTAGTATCCGAGCAGAGCCTTGGGGACCGGGGCAAGCAATTGCTCTCAGAAAAAGTGCGAGCCCCCCCAGCACCTGATGTGGTCCCCTGCTCCCGCCATATCTGCCCCTCCCATTCACCGTGCCGATGGTACAACCCTCATAGATATCGTCCCCCATCCCTTTCCCAATCCCTCGTCCGGTGCCCCCCGGATCGTTACCCTGTGCCGGGCACGGCTCTGACCCTGGTGGATTTCCCCCCCAATCCGCCTTAGTCGTCTTCCCAATATCTTTAAAAGAATAATTACAACCCCCTCCCCCAGAACCCCTTAAAATCTTTAAAAATTTCCCTAAAAAGCCCCATAAATTCTTCCTTGCTCCATGCCATCTCTCCGGACTCCAAAGTCCGTCATCGAGATAGGCCCTCGATAATGTGGGGGGCCAAATCTGCGAGAGGGGAGAATCTCGCAGGGCGAGGAGTTCCGACACCGAATACATATAGCTATCAAGGGGAAACAGTCCAAGGGTGGGGGACCACTGATGTTATAAGCGTAGGGAAAATTCCAGTCCATGGTCAGGCTGCCAAGCTCCACTGTCCTCTCACGACAGTGGCTAAGGAGGTGCATATCATTCGACCCCAAAAGTTTCCAGGGTGGCCGTCTCTCACCAGGCCAATCCATGGGGACTTTGATAGAAAGCTCAAGGGTGAGGATAGCCATATTCCGCCTCCTCGGCCCCATGTCCATAGAACCAGTATCCCTCCTGGGATTAGCAGCATCAGGGAATCCAATATCCAGCTCAAAGGAGGTTTAAGTTCGTAAATGTTCGTCAGAAAAGTTCTACATGGTAGGGAATCCAGACAGGCCAGATGGAAATGGGAAAAAATTAGGAGTAGTTCAGCAGGCCAAGATGGATGGGAAGCTATGATCGTAGTAGGCCAATAGGCCAAAGCTCAGTCTGAAGGAAGGAGGGGGGGGATTCAAACCGCATAAGTTTGTAGTCATTTTCCAGCCCCAATAACCCTCAACCTTCCATTCTAGAGGGTAAAGCTCCCCAATTTCGTCCCCCCCCATCCAGCTCACCCTGGGGGGGGGCTCTGGGTCTCCCTGGGGGTAACCCTTCCCTCAAGGGTCATATACTCTCCAGTCACCCCAAAATCAGACCTAAAAACCGCTGCTGAAGAGTCCTGGGCCGTCTGTTTGGAAGTCTTTAGGCCCTTGGGAGCCGCCCCAACCTTAGGCGCCCCCGTCACGACCACCGCCGCGGCCTCCGCAGTCCCCATCGCCATCGTCGCCATCGGCCCCCCCACGGACGTCCCCAGCCGCCCCCTGCCTCCAAAGATCCACCTCGAGGCATCCAGGGGCGTGGGAACCTCCGTAGGGGCCTCACAACGCCGACGTCGTCCAGGAGCTGCCGCCGCCGCCGCCATGACCGCCCGCGACCGCCGCCGCCGGTGCCGCTCCCCTGCAGGCCGCAGACCGCCGTCACCCACCGCCGTCCTGACATCATCCCCCTCAGCGCTGGGATGGTCCGGGGAGCCGACAAAGCTTCCAACGGGCTCCTCAGATGCTGCTTCGTCCGGGCGGGGGGTCATAGATGTTCGAAATGACCCCCCTGAGCCCCCCCAAGCCGAGGCATCGCCCCCAAGAAGCCGAGACTCAGCGCCAGAGCGCCATCTTGGGGCATGCGCAGTATCACACATTGCAATGCAGCAATCCAACCTTTTACTCCAAGGAATGGGGTTTTTTTTTAATTTTTTTTTTAATTTTTTTTAATTTGATTTATATGCCGCCCTTCTCCGAAGACTCAGGGCGGCTTACAATGTGCTCAGCAATAGCCTTCATCCTTTTGTATATTTATACAAAGTCAGCTTATTGCCCGCACAAACCAGGTCCTCAATTTACCTAATTTAGAAAGGATGGAAGGCTGAGTCAACCTTGAGCCTTGGCAAGATTCGAACCTGCAGTAATTGCAGGCAGCTGGTCTTAATAACCAGTTTAATAACAGGGTGCCTTAAACCCCTGTACTACCAAGGGTTGGGATTGAAAAAGGAATCGGGAAGATTCCTGCAACCGGTTAGAATTCCAGCCAAAGGGATTTATTTATTTATTTATTTATTTTTGGCCCAAATGGAATAAATAATCTTGGGAACAAATCGCTCGTCCGTTTAATCTCCTGCGGAGGGCAGGTGTTCCATAAAAGGGATTAATTGTTGGGAAAGTCGCACAAAGGGTTAAAAATCAAGCCGCGGGAAATATCTATCCTTGACTCTATTTTTCCCAAACTCGGATTTTTTTTTTTTAAAAAAAAATTATGATATAAATAAATCCTGGTGTATAAATTAAGCAGGATGCTTGTATGATAGTTGTTCCCTATGGGTCTAATACACCCTAGGCAACTTGAAGATGGGTGGAGAAGATGGCCGGGGAATTCTGGGAGTTGAAGTCCACCTATCTTTAAATTCTTAAGTTTTAAGTTTAAAATTCTTAAAAGACTAAGAACCATTGGCTCAACAGCTACAAACTTCTCTCTCACTCTTTCTCTCTTGCTTTCTTTTTCTCTCTTTCTCTCTCCCCCTCTCATTCTCTCTCTTTCTTTCTCTCTGCCCCTCATTCTCTCTCTCCCTCGTTCTCTTTCTTTCTCTCTCTCTCTTTCATTCTCTCTCCCTCTCATTCTCTCATTCTCCCCCCTCTTTCTCTCTCTCTCTCTCTTTCTTTCTCTCTCCCCCTCATTCTCTCTCTCCCTTGTTCTCTCTTTCTCTCTCTCCCTCTCATTCTCTCTCCCCCTCTTTCTCTTTCTCTCTTTCTCTCTCTCTCTCTCACTCATTTTCTCCCTCTCCTTCGTTCTCTCTCTCTTTCTCTCCCCCCTTCTCTCCTTCTCTCCATTCTAATTTTGATGACATAAGAATTCTCCAGACTATTATTAATTTTTTATGTTTATTTATTAGAAGTATTTCAGGGCAACATTCAGCTCAGGTGAAAAATAATAAACAGGGGAAAAAAAAAAACCAGACCAGGAGAAAACAATAGCTTAATTCACGACACCAGGTTTTTCAGAAGCTGCTCTCGCCACTATCACCACTGAATAATATTTGAAAGGGAACCCTGAGACCATCTAGTCCAACCTCCTCTGCTCAGGATGGGATCCGTAAACCTGTAATAATCATTTTTATTGTATTGTATTGTATTGTATTGTATTGTATTGTATTGCATTGCATTGCATTGCATTGCATTGTATTGCATTGTTTTTAATTTAATTTAATTTAATTTAATTTAATTTAATTTAATTTAATTTAATTTTTGTTTTTGTTTTTGTTTTTATTATTATTTTATTTATTCTTTTGTTCTTTGATGTGCCTTTTCGTTTGTCGTGGTGTCTATCCTTTCCGGCGTTTAATTCACTTTTTTTTTTTCCTTCTTCTTTTTAAAGGCTGCTTAAAAATCAGTTCGACTTAGCAATTCAAAGGAAGGGAATTTACCAACCGAGATTTCAGGATGATGCTGGGAAGGGAGGAATATCCTTAGGACAAGTGGCAGACGGATTGAATGATGTCTCCGTCTACAGCATGGGCATTTCGGGGGGAAAAAAAACATGCGTGTGTTTTATTAACCTCAAATCTTTCTCTTCTCCCTATAATCCTGTAATTTGGAGCTCAGCGCCCATCAGATGATGGCTCCATTTTTAATCTCTCCCCCCAAGCTCACGACCGCTGGGCCACGATTTTCATTCGTCCATCCCAGAGATAAAAAAACATCAAAATTCAGGTCACTGCTTCGTGGTCCCGTGGTCTGCGTCACACGTGTCTTTCACGGAGATTGGAGCTGCAGGGCGCCGGCTGGCTATTTCTCTCTCTCTTTTTTTTTTATACATATTTATAGCCACCAAGAATGTTTAGGAATCACTCAAGGCGGTGAACATAATGAAAACTCCTTCCCTCTTCCTATTTTTCTCACAACAACGTTGTGGGGGTGGGCTGGGAGAGAGGGGCTGGCCTAATAGAGCCACCCACCCAGCTTTCGTGCCTAAGGTAGGACTAGAATTCACAGTCTCCTGGGGATTGTCCCAAAGGTACCCAGCTGGCTTTCATTATGAAGGTGGGACTAGAACTCCCCAGTCACCCAGTGAAAGTCACCCAGTGGAGTTTCATGCCTAAGGCAGGACTTGAACTCCCAGTCACCTGGTGATTGGCTCCAAAGTCACCCAGCTGGCTTTCGTTATTAAAGGGGACTAGAACTCCCTGTCTCCTGGTGATTGACTCAAAGTCTCCCAGCTCGCTTTCATGTCTAAGGAGGGACTAGAACTCCCTGTCTCCTGGTGATTGGCTCCAAAGTCACCCAGCTGGCTTTCGTTATTAAAGTGGGACTAGAACTCCCTATCTCCTGGTGATTGACTCAAAGTCTCCCAGCTCGCTTTCATGTCTAAGGAGGGACTAGAACTCCCTGTCTCCTGGTGATTGGCTCCAAAATCACCCAGCTGGCTTTCGTTATTAAAGTGGGACTAGAACTCCCTATCTCCTGGTGATTGACTCAAAGTCTCCTAGCTCGCTTTCCATGTCTAAGGAGGGACTAGAACTCCCTGTCTCCTGGTGATTGGCTCAAAGTCTCCTAGCTCGCTTTCATGTCTAAGGAAGGACTAGAACTCCCTGTCTCCTGGTGATTGGCCCAAAGTCACCCAGCTGATTTTTATGCCTAAGGTAGGACTAGAACTCCTTGGCTCCTGGTCATTGGTCCAAAGTCACCCAGCTGACTTTCATTATTAAGGTGGGACTAGAACTCCCCATCTCCTGGTTTCTAGCCTGGTGGCTTCTCTATTAGACCAAACTGGTTTGTGCCAAGGGCTATTGATTGTGCAGTTGCAATCACCATCTTGAATGTGTTGGCCCAGCCCAGGCACATGGGTCTACTCTACGTAGAGCCACACACAACAAACATACACACATGACCATTCATAGATCAAAACCGAGAAATAGATCTTGAACAGAACATGAAGACCAAGGATCTACGTTTGTGATTTTCACTTCGAGCTTCTTGTATTCATAGAATCATGGAATGAAGGATTGGAAGGGACTTTGGAGATCATCCAGTCCAACTCCTGACCACTGCAGGACTCTACCCCCTGCCGAACTTTGTCCTCCCAAGAAGGTGACTCCACCATCTCAGATGTTTCATTTGGAGAACTCTTTCAGTTATAACATTCTTCGTGATGTCCAACCAAAATCTACTTTCTTATAATGTCATAAAATCATAGAATGAGAAGATTGGAAGATTCCTTGAAGAACATCTAGTCCACCCGTTGCTCAATACAGGAAGCCATTTCTACAGGATCCTGGTGCTCATCCAACTTTTACTGAACACCTTCTATAAAGAAGAGGCCACCACCTCCATGGTGGTCTGGTTAGTTATGGGCCTTCATGGAAGTCCATCTCCTCCAGCTTCACAGGAACATGAAGTCTTCTCAACAATGTAAGCGTCTTAAGATGAGGATGTCACCTTTATTTCTCCCTTTGCTTCTCTTTCATTTTCTTTTTTAATTTCTTTCTCCATCTTGGATCTTCTGACGCAACACCTACTCCTGTGAAGAACTTCAGCTCCAACAACCAATTTGACTCCTTCTGGAGATCTTGAGACTCAACTGGGGCCTATCTCATGGTGGCACCTAGAAGTGGACAACGATGGACGGAGCGAAGGACTTTTTTTTCGACCGGGTGCCATTGTTTTTCATGGAAAAGGAGAAAAATCTTCAGCTAATTCTGGGGTGCTGGTTGTCTTCTCTTCTCAGCCTCCTGGTTGGAGGATGGTCTCCTGCGCGGGAGAAGTGACAGTTCTGTTAGGAGAAGACAGGTCTCCTTCGAAGACGGAGGATGTTGTAGGTGTTCAACCCTGGGACATCAAAACCAGGAGAGAGTCCCTTGGGATCAAATGGGTAGAAGTTGAAAAGCTGCCCATCTTGGGCCTCAAGGGAAATCGAGGCAGGCCCTAACTTCAGGATGCACGGAAATTCCTCCTCAAAGACTACTTGGAAGGTGCGATCTTCAAGATGGTGGAGTTTAATGGTCCGGTACTTTTCAGGGATGACCTTCTCGATGTGAGGCCCGAATTGCTGCATCAGCAGCTCTCCTCTGGGCCCCACCTTGATCTCATAGAAGGTCAGGTTGGAGAAGGTATAGTAGCCCACGTAGGGAGCAGGACTCGGTGGAGTCTTCAGCTTCTTCTCGACTTCCCGAAAAGCGAATTCCAGGGAAGGAATCAGGTAATCGTAGATCTGGGTTACGATGTCTCCTCCTTGGGGGCGTGGACCAGCCATCAAGATGATGAAGCTCAGGCGGAGTTTGGGGACCAGGGAGAAGGTGGCCGAGAAGCCATCTATGTCTCCATCCTTCCGGAGGAGATCATAACCCATCTGCTCGTTAATCTCCCAAGGAGTGCCCGTCTTGTTGGCAAAGTAGTCCCTGGAGCACTTCAAGAGCGGAGTCAACATGACCTTCAGAGTCTCAGGCTCCAAAAGACGCCGGTGATAGGTGCCCAAGAAGACCATGGCTAACTTGGCCAAGTCAGCCGCCGTGGAAAACATCTGGCCAGAAGGTCTATACCAGCCCAGATCGTAGAGAGGAGCCACTTCTCCGCTGCCGTAGACTCCAACGGTCATTCTGGAACGGATGTTGGGCGTGATATCAAAACCTGTGTCTTCCATCCCAAGGCGGTCGAGGATGTTCTCACAGACCCAGTTCTGGTACTCACTCTTGGCCACCTGCTCAGCTAATACATAAGCCAATAAGGAGAACGCCAAGTTACTATAATGGCACCTGCAGAAGAAAAGCAGAGAGGATTACCGGGAAACCGTGAGTTCTAGTTCCACCTCAAGGCCTGAAAGCCTAGCTGGACTTGCCTAGCCACTTGTCTGAAATGTTATTTATTAGGAGCAACATGTCGGCACATACCCAAGTGGAGTCAGCTCTGCCCCACGTAATTTACGTCCCAACTATGACCCTGTTTCCCCCCGCTTCTCCCAGGGTGTGTCATAAATCACATTCTCCAGCAGAGCACTTTCACGGGCTGTAGAAAACACGCCTCTCCGGCTGGCTCTGGTAACCTAGGCTGCAGCCTTGAGAAAGGTATGCATGGAATGTGCTTCTGGTTGCTGCCGTGTTGCTCCGTCAGTTTCCCCCCCCCCTCCTGCCTATGGCAACTCGAGAGCAGGCCAGGAATGCTTTACGAGCTGACATTATGGGGGTTTCCTGCCTGAGCAGGGGGTTGGACTAGAAGACCTCCAAGGACCCCTTTAAACCCTAGGATTCTACATTCTGCATAGAGTGTCTGAGGAAAACTCAGACACAGGTTCGAAACCCGCCGCAACCCCGAGTAACACAACCTAACTAAGTGAACAAGGTCAACTTGGGTCTTTCACTCACCGGGTTCCTGGATCGGCCACCAAGATATCATCTCGGAGAAGAGCTAAAGCTTCTTGGGTGGTTCCTTTCCACATGAGGCTGGTGGACCTCAGACGTCGGGGCAGGCCTGAAGAACCAGAAAACCAGATGAACATGGGGGGAGGGGATGTCACCTTGTAAGGGGGCTTCAGAAAAAAGAGCAGACTGGTTTTTGGAGGGAAGGTTGGGTGGGAGATATTTCCTACAAATCGCATTTGCGTGGGAGCTAATTTTGCAGGTTCAATTCAACCCATGAAATGCAACTTCACCTTCTAGCAGGAGTGGGATTCACCCGGTTCGGACCAAATCTTGTTTGCCGAACCGGTAGTTGCAAGGACTGGCTGGCTCCATCCACCCCACCACGCCCCTCCCAGGAGACTCCACGTGGCCCGTTTTGAATGACAGATAAGCGCAGGGCCTGTGCGAAGGCTCTGGGAGGGTGAAAAACAAGCCTCCTGGAAGTTCTGGAAATCCGGAAACGGGCCTGTTTCTGGCCTTTGGCGAGCCTTTGGAGCCCAGGAGAGGCTGTTTTTGCCCTCCCGGAGGCTCAAGGAAAGCCTCCAGAGCCTGGGGAGGGTGAAAATGCCCCTCCCCGCATGGTGTAGGAGGCGGAGTAGGTCACGCCCCCATGGCCACACCCACCCAACAACTGGGCAGAGAACCTAAAATTTTTCAATCCCACCCCTGCCTTCTCTAGGCTGTATATTATAGTCTAAGCTAATATATAATACCGTATCAATCTTTAAATTGTGAAGACCTACACCCATTAAGTACTAAAATACAGGGAGTCCTGGGCAATCGAGCCCAACATTTCTGTCGCTAAGTGAGACAAGTCGATGTTGCACCAAACTAACTAATTTTCTTGCCACCGTTCTTAAATGAATCACTGCAGTTGTCAAACGAGTCACACGGTTGTGAAGGAAATCTGGCTTCCCCACTGCTTCCGGAAATGGAGCACCCACAACTTCTGGTGGCAAGTTGTTCCACTGGTTAATTGTTCCCACGGTCAGGAAAATTTCTCCTTCGTTCCAGGTTGCTTCTCTCCTTGATGAGTTTCCATCCGTTGCTTCTTGTCCTGCGTTCAGGTGCTTTGGGGAATAGATTGACCGCCCTCTTCTTTGGGGCAGCCCCTCAAATACTGGAATATTGCTATCGTGTCTGTCCCCCCAGTCCTTCTTTTAATTAGAAATACCCAATTCCGGCAACTTTTCTTTGTATGTTTTAGCCTCCAGGCCCCTAATCCTCTTTGCGGCTCTTCTCTGCACTCTTTCCAGAGTCTCAACATCTTTTTATATCAACTTTTCCTACCTGACAGCTGGCTGGCCATCCTTCGCAGGGTGACCGAAGAAGGCCGGGGGGGCAGCGGTTTGTCCTCAAAATAGCCCGCCCCGTCCCCCGAAGACGTCGGTTTGGATTCCTTGAGATGCCCCAAGGGGTTTTTGATGGAGAAATTTCGGGCGTAGCACTCCAAGGAATCATCGAGGGACGTTATCTTCCCTTCTTCCCAAAGTTTGTGCAACATGACGGTCGGGAACAACTTAGAGATGCTTCCGATCCTAACACGCACACACAACAATCACACCATCACACCAAAAATCAATATAAGAGACAAAATTGGAAATTGAAGACACTTGTGTTGTTGAGTTTGTAATCTACGCTTCTCCTTTTCTCAAAATTACCCTGTTTCCCCGAAAATAAGACCCAACCGGAAAATAAGTCCTAGCATGCTTGTAATATGAGCCCTACCCAAGTACCATATTTCCCCCTAAATAAGGGATGCGGTGGTTTAGTGGCTAAGACGCTGAGCTTGTCGATCGAAAGGTCGGCAGTTCAGCGGTTCGAATCCCTAGTGCTGCGTAATGAGGTGAGCTCCCGTTACTTGTCCCAACCTAGCAGTTCGAAAGCACGTAAAAAAATGCAAGTAGAAAAATAGGGACCATCTTTGGTGGGAAGGGAACAGCGTTCCATGCCCCTTTGGTGTTGAGTCATGGCGGCCACATGACCACGGAGACGCCTTCGGACAGCACTGGCTCTTCGGTTTTGAACGGAGATGAGCACCGCCCCCTAGAGTCAGGAACGACTAGCACATATTGGTGAGGGGAACCTTTAACTTTATCTTTTTCTCCCTAAATAAGACCTAACCAGAAAATAAGCCCTAATGCATCTTTTGGAGCAAAAAATTGATTTAAGACCCAGTCTTATTTTCGGGAAAACACGGTAAGTCCGTGATATCAAATTAAGGGGCTCTAGAGCAGTGGAGAAGGACATCTGGGTTAAAACAGAAGAGAGGAAAAACCAGCACGTTGGAATGAAAATCTTTGGTCGTCTAAAATCCTCAACAAAAGTTGTGCGTCTGAATCCCTAGATAGCACCTGGAATTGGGTGTTGTGCAAAATCGCACACTCGGGCATCCGCTCCTCAACTCACAATCCTCTAGTCGAGGAAAGCCCCCCCCCCCAATCACCTGTAAATGGAATATTCGCTGGGGAGACGTGAAAAGTTACTGGAGCCGTTGCGTTTCCCAAAGTTGCCAGTCCACAAGACAGTGTCGTTGTAGATGACAATGGCCGACAAGGCTGGAAGGCCCGGGTTGCGGATTTTATGCCGGAGAAGAGTGTCCACCTAGAGAGACCAGAAAGCAAGAAATAAAAATGTCACCTCCTTCACTTACGGCTAGAACATATCAGATTAACAGAGTCCAAGCAGGAGACCCTACACCAGTGATGACTAACCTTTTTGCCATCGCGTGCCAGGAGCGGGGTGGGGGGGTGTCGTGCGCATGCCCACACCCATAATTCTATACGCCTTCCTCCACGCATGTGCGTAGCCCCCCATGCTCCTGGCATGCAATGGCATGGTAGGCCCATTTTTTGCTCTCCCCAGCCTCCAGAGCCTTTCTAGGAGTCTGGGGAGGGCAAAAACTGCCTTCCCCACCCTCCCGGAGGCCGGAAGCGGTCTGTTTGCCAACTTCCGGTGGGACCTCCTGCGCGCCGGAGCTGAGCTCGTGTGCCCACTGATATGACTACACGTGCCATCACGACCCATTTCTGACAGAGGGCAGTCCAGTCTCTTCTTGAAAGCCTCCAGGGATGAAGCTCCTACAACTTCCGAAGGCAACTTCTGCTCCATCGGTTGATGGTTCTCACTGTTAGAAAATTCCTCCTTATTTCCAGGTTGAATCTCTCCTTGGTCAGTTTCCATCCATGATTCCTTGTCTGGCCTTGGAAAATAGCTTGACCCCCTTCCTCCTCTCTGGGGCAGCCCCTCAAATATTGGAAGACTGCTATCCTGTCTCCCCTGGTCCTTCTCTTCACTAGACCAGCCATGCCCAGTTCCTGCAACCGTTCATCGTATCTTTGAGCCTCCGGTCCCCTAAAATCATCCTGGTTGCTCTTCTCTGCAATCTTCCTCAACGTCTCAACGTCTTTTTTTATAGTGTGGCGACCAAAACTGGGTTGCAACGTTACCTTTTCCAGAGCATCTTTCAGGATGGGGATGGGGTGGTCCAATGGGACAGGTTCTGGGTAGCGGGGACACATCTCCGCGGCTGCTGGTTTGGCGTCCGTGCTGATTAAACCTATCAGATTACAGATTAACCGAGTCGGAAGGGACCTTGTAGGTCATCTAGTCCAACCTTTAAATAATTTTAAATTGGTTTGTCATTTTAAATTTGGGGCCAAACAGATATATATTCTTTTAACTGTTTTTAATGGTTTGTATTGTATGTTTTTATTTGGCTGTACACCGCCCTGAGTCCCCAGGGAGAAGGGCGGTATATAAATTCGAAATAAAATAAAAAAATAAAAAATAAATGAAAACCTGCCTTGTTTCATGCAGCAAAGAAATACAGAAAGCTTTGTTCCATTTTTTCTCCCCCCCCCCAAGCTGGATCTGGTAATCGGAGATAAAAAGCCGAGTGGGATTAAAATTAATCAGCGGGTATGTTAGAGGGGTCTCCCTTTCATAAATGAGGGGGAGAGAGACAGAAAAAGTGAGAGAGAGAAAGAGAGAGAGAGAAAGAAAGAGAGGGAGGCTGGTGAGAGAGAGAGAGGAAGAGAGAGAGAGAGAACAAGGGAGAGAGGGAGAGAGAGAAAAACAAAGAAAGAAAGAGAGGGGGGAAGAGAGAGACAGAAAGAGAGAGAGAGAGAAAGAGAGGGAGGCTGGCGAGAGAGAGAGGGAGAGGGAGAGAAAAAGAGAGAGAGAACGAGGGAGAGAGAGAGAAAGAAAGAAAGAGGGGGAGAGAGAGAAAGAGGGAGGGGGAGAGTTATTGGAGAAAGAGAAAGAAAGAAAGAAAGAAAGAAAGAAAGAAAAAAGAAAGAAAGAAAGAAAGAAAGAAAGAAAGAAAGAAAGAAAGAAAATGAGAGGGAGAAGGAGAGAGAGAGGGAGAGAGAAAGAGAAAAAGAAAGAAAGAAGGAAGGAAGGAATAAAAGAAAATGAGACGGAGAAGGAGAGAGAGAGGGAGAGAGAGAGAAAAGGAGAAAGAAAGAAAGAAAGAGAAAAAAGAAAAAGAAAGAAAATGAGAGAGAGAGAGAAAGGGAGAAAGGGAAAGAGAGAGAGAAAGAGAGAGAGAAATGAAAGAAAGAAAGAAAGAGAAAGAAAGAAAGAAAGAAAGAAAGATGAGAGGGAGAAGGAGAGGGAGAGAGAAAGAAAAAACTGTGATGAATATGGAGGGATATGAATGAATATGGAGGGATAACATTCATCTCTCCTTCAATTTAGGTTTAATCTCGGTTATCTTTCTATGTAGGCTACCAGATGTGGGCTGACCTCATTTTCATGCAGTGGATTTTATGTATTTCATTACCATCTTATGTGACGTGAGGTGCCGCTATCATCATCCCCGTTAACTATGTATATTTAAATGAGGGGTGGGTTTTTGTTTTTTTTTCTCATATACAATATCTTCGAATCCGGATACGATTCGAAACCATTTCATGGCTATTATCAATCGGATAGCAATTAAATCAAATGAAATGCAAGTGCAGCGTTTAAAACCCATCAAGCCGCATTAAACACAATTAATCAATCCGCGGGGGGTCCCTGAATCATTATTAAATGATTTTTCTGCCTGACAATACATGCTTGCAGGAGGCAGTCTTCAGGTTCGCTCGGGTTTTGATTTAGACCTTGGCGAGTAAATTAAATTAAAAGGACAGGACGTTGTAGGGAGGGAATGGGGATTTTGCAGTATCCTTCCCCAGGAGTTGGGTGGGAATGGGGATTTTGCAGTATCCTTTCCCTGGAGTGGGGAGGGAATGGGTATTTTGCAGTATCCTTCCTCTGGAGGGGGAGGGAATGGGGATTTTGCAGTATCCTTCCCTTGGAGTGGGGAGGGAATGGGGATTTTGCAGTATCCTTCCCCTGGAGGGGGGAGGGAATGGGGATTTTGCAGTATCCTTCCCCAGGATTGCGGAGGGAATGGGGATTTTGCAATATCCTTCCCCTGGAGTGAGGTGGGAATGGGGATTTTGCAGTAACCTTCCCCTGCCATGCCCACCAAGCCACGCCCACGGAACCGGTAGTAAAAAATTTTGAATCCCACCACAGCTCTCGGTCCCATTTCGGCGGACGCCGAGGTCCACCGTGAACCCACTCCACCAAACTTTGAGCTTTGTTGAATTTCATACTCACTGGACTTCACTTTGGGCAGGCTGTACTGCCACAGGAAAAGGCTGGTCATGGCCACGAAGAGCAGGAAGAAGATCAGGAGTGCCACATGGACCGCCTTCCCTTCCAGGGTGGAGAACCGGAAGAAGCTGAGTCTGATGGCGGTCTAATGGGGAGAGAAGGCAGAAGGTCAGAAGCGGCCAATTCACGCCTGTACTTTGGCATCGCTCGGTGCCAATCTGCCATCAACTCGAGGGAGGACAACTGGATGGGAGAGGGGAAATTGAAAGTTCACCGTATCTCCCTGAGATGCTGCTTCAAGGTCAACCATCTGCAACCAGCTGGGGCCACTGGGGCCAGCCAGAGGTGGTATTTGCCGAACTACTCAAAATTTCCGCTACCGGTTCTCCGAACTGCTCAAAATTTCTGCTACCGGTTCTCTGAACTGCTCAAAATTTCCGCTACCGGTTCTCCGAACTGCTCAAAATTTCTGCTACTGGTTCTCCGAACTGCTCAAAATTTCCGCTACCGGTTCTCTGCATTGCTCAAAATTTCCGCTACCGGTTCTCCGAACTGCTCAAAATTTCCGTTACCGGTTCTCCGCATTGCTCAAAATTTCCGCTACCGGTTCTCTGAACTACTCAAAATTTCCACTACTGGTTCTCCGAACTACTCAAAATTTCCACTACCGGTTCTCCAAACTACTCAAAATTTCCGCTACCAGTTCTCTGAACTACTCAAAATTTCCACTACCGGTTCTCCGAACTACTCAAAATTTCCGCTACCAGTTCTCCAGAACCTGTCAGAACCTGCTGGATTTCACCCCTGGGATAAGGTCATTCTACCTTTTTTTTGCACAACTACTTCATAGACCATCGCAAGTCTGAAACTTTGTGGCTTGGTGGCCCGGTGGGGGAGTTGGTGGGGGGGAAAGGGGGATGGTTCCTGTGAGCCGTCCAGGGCTGCCAAGCATCTCTTCATCCCGTCACTCCTGACCTTTCCCACACACCTATCCTAATCTGGATTATCTAGAAATCTCTGCCTTCAAGATAAGGGCCACACACCTGCCTTATCAGTATTATTGATTCCCAGAAGACGCTATAAATAAAGGATGTAGTAAGAATTTCACGGGGGGGGGAGACAGATACGCACGGAAAATAAACTTCGCCTATAAACCCATCCATCAAAAGTGTCAGTCCTATCGCGGGGTGGGGGTGGGGTGAGGGAATTAATAAGTGTCATATGATGATAAAATGATAAAATGACAGAGTTGGGAGGGACCCTAGAGGTCCTCCAGTCCCACCCCCTGCTTAAACAGGAGGCTCTCTATCTTCTTTATTCCTTCCCTCTTTTATCGCTCGTCTTTAATCTGCAATGAGTATAGAACGTTGATGTGTAAACGTGGAAATGGGGTTTAAACCCAAAGGAGTCATTTTTGACAGGAAGGATTAGAAATCCTTCCCGGATCTCTGCGCTTTCCGCCGTGCCCTCAAAAACATTCCTATTCCAGCAGGCCACCCTGGCCTAAACCTCCTTTTTTAAACTGTTTTTAAATTTTTAAATTATTAAATTTGTCTAATAACTTTGGGGTGTTTTAAATTCTGTTTTTGGGGCCAAATTACTTAATTGTATTTTAATGGGTTTTTTTTAACATTTGTATTATATGTATTTTATCTTGGCTGTTCACAGCCCTGAGTCCTTCAGGAGTAGGGCGGTATACAAATTCAATAAATAATAATCATAAAATCATAATAATAATAATAAAAAAGCTAAGATTAGTGGGGAAAAAACGAGGAAATATTAAATAGTAAAATATGAAGACACGGGCTTTTTTTTTTTAAAAAAAGCCATTTATCCAGTGCTAAAATGGCTACTTATGCATTTATGGGAAAGTGGAAACTCTCTGAAACTTTTGCTCGTCAGGGGCTTTTGCAAAGCATGAATATCAAAAGGATATTGCTATTCCACACCAATGGAACAACTCCGCTCAAATTTAAGGAGGGAAATATCCAAACTCTGGATCGCTCCACAAACCGATTCTGCCTCCAAATTCTTTTTTCCCCCTTTTTCCAAAAACCCCTTGATTCTTGATCCCGAGATTGGATCCATCTTCCTGGACGCCCATGGGCTGGAAACGGGTACTGCTCGAGTAGCGGGGTTGGACTAGAAGACCTCCAATGGCCCCTTCCAACCCCCTATGTTTCCTTACTGTTCTACTGCAGTAAGCCTGACTAAGGTGGCTCAGTGGCTAAGGCACTGAGCTTAGAAAGGTCGGCAGGTCGGCGGTTCGAATCCCTAGCACAGGCGTAAGCGGGGGGTTGGGATAGATGGCCCCCAAAGTCCCTTCCAACTCTGTTACTTTAGGGGGGGTCTCCATACGTGGCAATTTTAAGCTTGGTGAAACTTCAACGCTCCGAATTCCTCAACCATTTGTCTGGAATGGCCTAAGGTCTCCTGCTCGAGCAGGGGGTTGGACTAGAAGACCTCCAAGGTCCCTTCAAACCCTATCATTCTATCCTCTTCCCGGTTTTTGATTCAAAATCCCTTCTTCTCGGTTCTTCTGGCAAAGCCCCCTCCCCACTTCCTCCTACATCACCCAACGTTCCTGAACTTCTGGGTGCAGGATGGTACCCCAAAGATTGATGGTAGGACCCCCTGTGTGTGGGTGTGATCGGTCCTTAGCAAACTCTGTTGCCGGATTTCTAGATACTCCCCTTCTTCTCCTTCCCCCTGGGACTTTGTCCTCCTGCCCAAACATCAGGTGGGGAGATGGACCTACCATGGCTTCTGGGGGTCTCTGCCTTCCTCCTGTTGGCGTTGGATTGGCAAGAGAGGTGCGCGATGGGCTCCGTAGTAGCAGGTTTTCCCTCCTGTCTCACGGCTTCTATCGAGTTTCTGCAATCTGTTGCTGGAAGAGAGCAAAATCCAGATTTATGGAGCTAAGCTCCCGGCCACAAGCTGTTGTGTGTCTCCGCAGACCTCAGTTGCCAGAGTGCCAAGACCTAGGAAGGGGAACAAAGCTCCTGCACCCCCACAACCCCAACCCCTCCATCCAGGCAAGAAATGGAAAGGGAAACCCCCCCCAAAAAAAATTGAGAAGGGGGGGATCTTGTACAGGTTATGTACTCTGGGCTGGCTGGGGAATTCTGGGAGTTAGAGGACCACACATCTTAAAGTTGCCAAGGTTGAGATTCTATTCTATTCTATTCTATTCTATTCTATTCTATTCTATTCTATCTATTCTATTCCATTCCATTCCATTCCATTCCATTCCATTCCATTCCATTCCATTCTATTCTATTCTGTAGTCTATTCTATTCTGCATTTTTCTGCATTCTATTCTATTTAGTCTGCATATTTTCTCTATTCTATTCTATTCTATTCTATTCTATTCTATTCTATTCTATTCCATTCCATTCCATTCCATTCTATTCTATTCTGTAGTCTATTCTATTCTGCATTTTTCTGCATTCTATTCTATTTAGTCTGCATATTTTCTCTATTCTATTCTATTCTATTCTATTCTATTCTATTCTATTCTATTCTATTCTATTCTATTCTATTCCATTCCATTCCATTCCATTCCATTCCATCCCATCCATCCCATCCCATCCCATCCCATCTTATATTCTATATTCTATTTCTTTTCTATTCTATATTCCTATTCTATTCTATCCTATTCTATTCTATCCTATCTTTCTTTATTGCTTTATTTGCTGAGAACGGCGCTTCAATTCACGTCTCACTCAATACAGGGGGGAAAAAAACCAGGTTTATGTTCCATCAGATACAGTCAGTTGTGCTAATTAAAATCTGTCTTTTGCCTTTAAGGAACAGCAAGTACACAAATCTGTAGCGCCCTCTGCTGGTCAGCTATACAATTTATTCCTTCCTTCTTCCATGTAATATTAGGACTTCCATATTAGACTCTTGATTGATTATTACAGGAAGCAGGAGACCGTAGGCCATTTCAGACAAATGGTTGTCCAACCTCTTCTTACAAACCTCCAATGATGGAGTTACAATTTCTGGAGAAAAGTTGTTCCACTGATTAATTGTCCTCACTGTCAGGAATCGTCTCCTTCGTTCCAGGTTGCTTCTCTCCTTGGTCCGTTCCCATCCGTTGTTTCTTCTCGTCTTGCCTTCTGGCGCTTTGGGAAATAGGTTGACCCCCTCTTCTTCCCCCAAATCCCAGAAGACTGCTGTCATGTCAACGCTAGTTCTTCTTTTCACTAGACTAGACCCAATTCCAGCAACCGTTCTTTCTATGTTTGCTCCTCCAGTCTCCCTAATCTTCTTGGACTGCTCTTCTCAGTCCTCTTTCTCAACATTTTTTTTTCTTGTAACGTGGTCCACCACCGTGGATGGGTGGTCTTTCCAAAGACTGATCAAGAACTCTTCACTCTTCACGTGATTTGGATTCCATGCCTCTTGTTTAATGCAGCCTAGGATTGCGTTGACGTTTTTTTTGTTGGCAGTTGTCTTCTCTGGTCCATCAACCCAAGCATCTTGGGGCCTGGGAAGTTGGCTTTGTTTTATCCAGCTGCAAATGCGTTTGGATGTCACCATGGATGGCCAGAGGCCAACCTGTCATGGGGTTGACAACAGATGGCCTTCCACGCATGAGAAAACTCTGGGTTTTCTTCCTTGGTCCACAAGGCTCCTTGTCTGTTAACTGAAGCCTACCGTGATGGGCAAATATTACCGATGGCGTCTCTGCCCTAAATTTTTTGCATGTGTTGGGGGGGAGGGGAGGGCTGTGGTTCTCGTGGGTAGCTCCTCCCACTCGGCTTCTCCATCCCCATCTCAAGATCCGCTTGCTTGGAAAGCCCACCCAATGAGCGGGCGCATTGGGGGCATCCTTTGAGGTGTCAATCATCGGCGGCGGTCGTCATCCTCCGAGGAGACGATGGGTTCCGCCAATCCTCGCAGGTCACGTGAAGGCACCAATCCGTTGGGTTTGAAGGCCAGCCTCCCCCCTACCCTTTCCTGGAGATGGACGATGATCTCTCTTGATGTGCCCTGAACTTTTGAACCCATGAAAACGTCAGTCATCAAGAGTTCAGCGCCCTTTCGCACGTTGGCACCGTGAAAGGGGCCATCAAGAGTAATATCGTCAACGGCGGAAGAGCTGGTCACAAGGCCTCCTCCCCCGTCAACACAGCTGGTCTAGAAGGCCCATTGTAGAAGACCAAAAACATTGTCACAATGTCCTTTTGTGTCTCTGCGCCAATTAGGAGGCCATCTTGGGATGAATCGAGCCTGGACACCTGCGTGGACTTCTATCCCCATGTCCCCCCACCTCCGTTCCCCTCCCGGTGGCTGCCCTGTCCCTCCCCTGCCAAGTTGCATCATGCTCCAAAGGGCTATTTTTGATGGAGTGGTCCAGGGGTGTGAAAATCCTTCTCAAAGTTAATTGGAGAAGATCGAAGCATCACGCATGGATGGCTTCTCCTACCCCCCACCCCCGAGGAGACAGCAGAAGGAGCCGGGGAGGGGAGAGAGTCTCCATATCTTCTCCCGCTGTTCACAAAAAGCTTTGGAAACGGCCGGAAGAAGACGGGGGTTCCCCCGGACTGCCATCATGGCGGTCCTTGAGTTGGGGGATCCTGGCTTCGAAACGGTGAGGGCTACAGCCACGCTAAAGACGGGGTTAATTCTGTTTTCGAAAAGAAACGAAAAGAAAATGAAAAGAAAGAAAGAAAGAAAAGACATGGACAGGGGGTTGGACTAGAAGACCTCCAAGGTCCCTTCCAACTCTGTTAATCTATTCTATTCTATTCTATTCTATTCTATTCTATTCCTATTCTATTCTATTCTATTCTATTCTATTCTATTCTATTCTATTTTTTCTGCATTCTGTTCTATTCAAATTCTATTCTATTCTGCATTTTTTTGCATTCTATTCTATTCTGTATTTTTCTGCATTCTCTTCTCTTCTCTTCTGTTTTTTCTGCATTCTGTTCTATTCAAATTCTATACTATTTTCTTTTCTATTCTGCACTTTTATGCATTCTATTCTATTCTACTTTTTTCCTGCATTCTGTTCTGTTCAAATTCTATTCTATTCTGCATTTTTCTGCATTCTATTCTATATTTTTTCTGCATTCTCTTCTATTCTCTTCAAATTCTATTCTATTCTATTTTCTATAATATTCTGCATTTTGTTCTATTCTGCATTTTTCTGCATTCTATTCTGTTCTGCGTTTTTCTCTTCTAGTCTACTGCTATTCTTTCTATTCTATTCTACATTTTTTGCTGCATTCTATTCTATTCTGTTTTTCATTTTGCTGCATTCTGTTCTATTTTCTATTGTATTCTATTCTGCATTTTTCTGCATTTTATTCTATTCTATAGTCTATTCTATATTCAATTCAATTCTACTTTATATTCTGTATTCTGTATTCTGTTCTGTCCTATTCTATTCATTTTGCTGCATTCTGTTCTATTTTCTATTGTATTCTATTCTGCATTTTTCTGCATTTTATTCTATTCTGCATTTTTTCTGCATTCCATTCCATTCCAATCACTGACAGTCCCTACCTCAGCCATATAAATGCAAGGACCAGCATAGGCACTCCAAACTGATTCCCTGACATGTAATTGCTCCAAGGAGGCCCCCCAGATTTGTGTCCGATTGCGTGACACTGGATGGAAGCATCGTGAGTTGTGTCCTGCCCTACGGACATGCCACATCGGCTTCTCGCCAGGTCCCAAAAAAACCCCTTCAAAACCTCATCAAGTATGTCACACGAAACCAAAGCAGAGAAAATGATCCTCTAGCTGCAGAAGGGACATTCTAGGCACAGAGGGTGGAACAAGCCATGAATTATTGACAGCAAGCATGTGAGTTAAACTTAGAAAGTTTTTCTTTTTAAATCGTCAGTGTTGCAGGAAAACCTGACATGAAGTTTGTTCTGTCAGAATATAAGTTAATATAAGAATATAACTTCTTAACAGTGGGGACGATTAAGCAGTGGAACAGCTTGCCACTAAAAGGAAGATTCTGATTATTATAGTCTATGGGAGTTATTCTACCAATGGTTAGAGAACAAATATGAAAATTGGAAAGAAAAGCAGAGAAGTGAAATATGGAAAATGTTTTAACAGAGTTAAATAAACTAAGAAGAGGATTGTTATAATAGTAGGTAGTATAATAGTAGTATTAAGTTAAGAATAGACAATAAGGGACGTGGTGGCTCAGTGGCTAAGATGCTGAACTTGTCAATCGAAAGCTCGGCAGTTCAGCGGTTTGAATCCCGAGTGCCGCGTAATGGGGTGAGCTCCTGTGACTTGTCCCAGCTTCTGCCAACCTAGCAGTTCGAAAGCAGGTTAAAAAATGCAAGTAGAAAAATAGGGACCACCTTTGGTGGGAAGGTAACAGCGTTCCGTGCGCCTTTGGCGTTGAGTCATGCCGGCCACATGACCACGAAGACGACCTCGGACAGCGCTGGCTCTTCAGCTTGGAAACGGAGATGAGCACCGCCCCCTGGAGTTGGGAACAACTAACACATATGTGCGAGGGGAATCTTTACCTTTACCTTAAGAATAGACAAAATATTAAAGACGGCTGTAAATCTTAATTGTTATTGCACAAAATATTTGTACTCAGGTGACACACTGTTTAATGAAAGGTGAAATGTTTGTATTAAAATAAAATAATTAAAAAAAAACCCCATGGAAATATGTCTAGAAGTTCAAAGGTGCGAAGACTCAAGGAAAGAAGAACTGGTCCAAAATGTTCACACTTCACATTTATTTTGGAAAAGAAAGTCTTCTTAAAAATACTCCTACAAAGATCGCGGAGTAACGGGTTCTGCGTTTTCTTTATAAATACATCGAGTTTTCCTTCTCCCCTTTCCCGCGGACATCCCAAAGATGTCCGACAGAGTACAGAGAAAGGCCTGGTTGGAATGGAAGACGCATCCTTAGGGGGGAGATGAGGGGGGGGACAAGGGTTGGGAAACCACCTGTTATTCACATTTTTGTTGTGGTCATTGCTGTCATTCTTTTGTAAAAAATACAAATACTGTCAGGGGTAAAAGAACAAAGGTTGCATGGGTGGCCCCTCCAGAGACGAAGGGGGGAGGCTCCTTAAAATGGTGACCTAGCGATGAGTTGAGACGCATCTTCACGAAGCTTCAAGTCCTTCTGAGCTGGACGGTCCGGCGAATGCCCAAAGTTCAAGACCCTCCAATTCCACACATGCCCCCCTTTAAAGGAAATTACAGACAAGAGAAGAAAAATCTTAACATTTTCTCTGTTTGAAATAAATACCCGCTCCCATTTGCAGCTGTCTCTCCTCCGTATTCCACCGTTTTATGCCAGATTCACATCCCGACAACCAAAAAACTGGTTTGAAGATGGTGATGTATTTATGTCACCTTTCCAGATGAAAGGCTCTTGATGATGTTTCTTCCAACTCTGGAACCTTCATCCTTAAATTGCCTCCTTTCTCGCACCGAAGCCCTCCTCCTCTCAGGAGGATCACCGTACCCATAAGACAGCCATTTTATTGCTTGGTCCGGTGGAACGGGGCAGCCTCGGTGCAGGTGGACGTGAGCTCGGTAAAGCAGATAAAGAGGGGGAGCAAAAATGAGATTTTGCACACACAGAACAGAGCCAAGCTGTGAAAACCAACAGTGTGGTGTGAACTACGATGCCCAGAATTCCCCAGCGAGCGTGGAGAATTCTGGGAGCTGTAGTCCATGGACGCCGGCTGCGGAATCGAGAACGGAAGTGGACTTCAATGCCCAGAATTCCCCATGCAGCAGGGTGTGCACTTCAACTCCCAGAATTCTCCACGCTGGCTAGGGAATTCTGGGAATTGAAGTCCAAATCGCCAAAGTCTACTATGGATAAAAGACACTGGGAAAAGCTCTTTATAAGATGGAAAAAAACCACACATCTTAATTAGAATGAAAAGGCGAGTGGGTGGAAGGACAGGATAACCACAATTTGAGCAAACCCGCTGGGAATAATTTGGCATGGCAAGCCAAGCCCCCTCCTCTTAAAAGGATGTGAGGGGGACGACGCAGGCTTGGAGCAGCCTTCTCGTGCAAAAGCAAATTCTGATTGGAGATGCTTTCTTTTTGCAGGCATATGTCAAACGCTTTGTGTCTCTGTGTGTGTGTGTGCATGTGTTGTTTTCTAAAGGGAGACCTTCTGATGCAAAACAAAGTTAATTTCCTTGTGCCTTTGTGGAAAAGCTGCAAGGAAAATCCTCTCCCCCCCCCTTATTTTTTTTTTTCCTGCCCTGGGGGAACAATATCCCCAGTTTGCAAAGACATGGAGGCTAACCCACTTTCCTAACAGCAGCTCGTTTTGCATAACACGCTTGCTTGCTTATAATTGCTTTGCAGATTCGACATGCTTCGGCAGGTAATCCTCGGCTTACAACCGCAATCGAGGTCAAACCTTCGGTCGCTAAGCCAGACGGTTGTGAAGTGAGTTTTGCCCCCGTTTGACGACATTTTTTGACACCATTGTTAAGGAGATCGCTGCCGTGGTTAAATTAGTCACACTTCTGTTAATCGAAGTGGGCTTCCCCCTCAGCTTGGCAGAAGGTCGTAAAAGATCATAAAATGGACACTGCAGACATCATAAATACGAGTTGGTTGTCAAGTGTCTGAATTTTGCTCCTGTGATCGCGGGGAGGCTGTGTCGGTTGTGTGAACAATAGTTCCTAAGACACTTTTTTGCAAGTTTGAGTGGTCACTAAGCAAACGGTTTAAGTCGAGGAGTACCTGTATCTGGCAGGCTCAATCAGCACAAATGCAAATGAAAAAAAAAAAGGACGTCTCTCTCAATACACGCGCACACAAAAACACACACACACTTAGGAGCAACTTGGTGTCGATGCCTGGCTCCTTGGGAGGAGAAACACAATTATTATTTTTTTTGCATTCGGAGGAGGGCAAAAACAATGCAGCCCCCCCAACCCCCCTGGGGACCCCCATTGCAAATGAAGGAGAAGTCATGGACAACCACAACAGAAAAGCACAACAAAGTCTACAACACGCTACAAGGGAGGAAGGCCTGGTGAACATCGCAAGTGTGTCATAGCTGCCATTCAGGGGTGCAAAAGAGGAACGGGTTCCGGGAAGTGCCAAGATTCAAACCCAATCCCAACTCGATCAAGGACCGATCTGAACCATATAGGAAGCTCCTTTAGACCACGGGGGAAGAAGGTGGAAGAGGACATCAAAATGTGTTTTTAAAAAATGCTTCTGTCCTTCGAAGGAAAGAGGGTTACAAAAGACCCGTCCGTCGGTAAAACCTCCTGTCTCTGGCCCCAAAGATCACATCCACCGAACCCTGGAGATGAATCCTCCACAGCTCCGTTTCAGATGTTCAGGGACCTCCTGTGTAGATGGCGACGCTGGAACGGCTCATTCGAAGGATGGACAGGGTTGAGGGGGGGGGCAAGAAAGGCTGCTTGCCGTCCCTACCCCAACTTTAGCCCTTTGAGGAGAAGGTCCACGCCACCGACGCGGGGTTTGGACGTGTCCTCCAAAAACAGAAATCCAGGATGGCTCTGGTTTGCTCAGAGTCCGCGGCCGCTCGGCCCTCCATGACTGTCTTGGTTTGGGCAGCCCCGAGTCCCGTGGGAAACCTGGACGTGCTCCAGGACAAGGGAGCGGGACTTCTGAACCCATGGCCATGTGTGCGAGAAGCACGTCTCAAACTTCCACGGACTGGATCTGGCTCATCTGCGTCCGCATCACCTGGACACTGTTCAGGATCTTCTTCTGGTGTCCGGCCAGCGTTACTCCGACTCGCAAGATGTCTCTGGGGAATGGGAAGAAGAGCAGGGGCGGGAAGATTAAGGAGAGGTTCTACTGTATTGTGTTTGTATTTTGTATTGCATTTTCCACTGTATTTTATATTATATTGTACTGTATTGTATTTTATATTGTATTATTTTGTAGTTATAGTTTGTAATTTGTATTGTTTTGAATTTTGTATCGTTTTGTATTTTGCATTGTACTGTACTGTATTGTATTTTGTATTGTTGTGTATTATATTTTATATTGTATTGTTTTGTATTTTGTATTGTATTGTACTGTCTTGTATTTTATATTGTTGTGTATTTATATTGTTGTATTGTATTGTACAGTACTGTGGCATTGTACTGCATTGTATTTTGTATTGTTTTGTGTATTGTATTGTATTGTGTTGTACGTACTGTATTGTATTTTGTATTGTTATGTATTTTGTATTGTATTGTATTGTATTTTGTATTGTTTTGTGTATTGTATTGTATTGTGTATTGTAGCTGTAACTGTATTGTATTTTGTATTGTTATTGTATTTGTAGTTGTATTGTATTACATTTTGTAGTGTTTTGTGTATTGTTTTGTGTTGTATTGTATTGTTTGTGTATGTACTGTATGTATATTGTACTGCATTGTATTTTGTATTGTTTAGTGTATTGTATTGTATTGTGGTGTGCTGTACTTTCTTGTATTTTGTATTGTGTTTTGTGTATTTTGTAATGTTGTGTTGTGTATTGTACTGTATTTTTGTATTGTTTTGTGTATTGTATTTTGTACTGTTATGTATTTTGTATTGTATTGTATTGTATTTGGTATTGTACTGTACTGTATTTTGTATTGTTGTGTTTTTGTTGTATTGTATTGTATTTTGTATTGGTTGTGTATTTTGTGTATTGTACTGTCTTGTATTTTGTATTGTTGTGTATTTTGTATTGTACTGTATTGTATTTTGTGTTATTTTGTGTATGTATTTTGTATTGTATTTTGTATTTTTGTATTGTATTGTATTATGTTGTATTTTACTGTACTGTGGTTATTGTACTGTATTGTATTTTGTATTGTTTTGTGTATTGTATTGTATTGTGTTGTGCTGTTGCTGTCTTTGTATTTTGTATTATTGTGTATTTTGTATTGTACTGTATTGTATTTTGTATTGTTTTGTGTATTGTATTGTATTGTGTTGTGTTGTACTGTATTGTATTTTGTATTTTACTGTACTGTATTTTGTATTGTACTGTATTTTGTATTGTTATTGTACTGTATTTTGTTTTGTACTGTGTATTGTTATATTGTATTGTATGTATTTTTGTATTGTATTGTGTATTGTATTGTATTGTGTTGTACTTTACTGTATTGTATTTTGTATTGTTGTGTATTTTGTATTGTGTGTATTTATTTTTGTATTGTTTTGTGTATTGTATTGTATTTGTGTGTTGTACTGTACTTGTTGTATTGTATTTTGTATTGTACTTATGTATTTTGTATTGTATTGTATTGAATTTTGTTTTTGTTGTAGTGTATTGTTTTGTGTATTGTTTTGTGTTGTACTGTCTTGTATTTTGTAGTAGTGTTATGTGTATTTTGTAATGTTGTGTTGTACTGTACTGTATTTTGTATTGTACTGTATTGTTATTTTGTATTGTTATGTATTTTGTATTATATTGTATTGTATTTGGTATTGTTTTGTGTATTGTATTGTGTTGTGTTGTACTGAACTGTATTTTGTATTTTATTGTTGTACTGTATTTTGTATTGTATTGTTACTGTATTTTGTATTGTACTGTATTTTGTATTTGTATTGTACTGTATTTTGTTTTGTACTGTATTGTATATTGTATTGTTATGTTATTTTGTATTGTATTGTGTATTGTATTGTATTGTGTTGTATCTGTACTGTATTGTATTTTGTATTGTTGTGTATTTTGCATTGTTTTGTGTATTGTTTTGTATTGTGTTGTACTGTATACTGTATTGTATTTTTGTATTGTTATGTATTTTGTATTGTATTGTATTGTATTTTGTATTGTTTTGTGTATTTGTGTTTTGTGTATTGTTTTGTGTTGTATTATATTGTATTGTTGTACTGTGGTATTGTACTGCATTGTATTTTGATATTGTTTTGTATTGTATTGTATTGTATTGTGGTGTGCTGTACTGTTTTGTATTTTGTAGTGGTTTTGTGTATTTTGTAATGTGTGTTGTACTGTACTGTATTTTGTATTGTACTGTATTGTATTTTGTACTGTTATGTATTTTGTATTGTATTGTATTGTATTTGGTATTGTATTGTTATGTTAATGTTTGTTTTTGTATTGTTGTGTATTTTGTATTGTATTGTGTATTTTGTATTGTTGTAAATTGTTGTATTGTATTTTGTGTATTGTATTTTGTATTGTTGTGTATTTTGTATTGTACTGCATTGTATTTTGTGTTGTTTTGTGTGTATTGTTTGTGTATTGTTTTGTGTTGTATTCATTGTATAGTTTTGTGTATATTGTATTGTATTGTATTTTGTATTATTTTGTGTATTGTATTATGTTGTATTGTACTGTACTGTGGTATTGTACTGCATTGTATTTTGTATTGTTTTGTGTATTGTATTGTATGGTGTTGTGCTGTGCTGTCTTGTATTTTGTATTCTTGTGTATTTTGTATTGTACTGTCTTATATTTTATATTGTTTTGTGTATTGTATTGTATTGTGTTGTGTTGTACTGAACTGTATTTTGTATTGTACTGTACTGTATTTTGTATTGTACTGTACTGTATTTTGTATTGTACTGTATTTTGTATTTTATTGTACTGTATTTTCTTTTGTACTGTATTGTATATTGTATTGTTATGTATTTTGTATTGTATTGTATTGTGTTGTACCTTACTGTATTGTATTTTGTATTGTTGTGAATTTTGTATTGTACTGTCTTGTATTTTGTATTGTTGTGTATTTTGTATTGTACTGTATTGTATTTTGTGTTGTTTTGTGTATTGTATTGTATTGTGTTGTGTTGTACTGTAACTGTATTTTGTATTGTACTTGTACTGTATTTTTTATTGTACTGTATTTTGTATTGTATTGTACTGTATATTTTGTTTTGCACTGTATTGTATATTGTATTGTTATGTATTTTGTATTGTATTGTGTATTGTATTGTATTGTGTTGTACCTTACTGTATTGTATTTTGTATTGTTGTGTATTTTGTATTGTATTGTGTATTGTATTGTATTGTGTTGTACCTTACTGTATTGTATTTTGTATTGTTGTGAATTTTGTATTGTACTGTCTTGCATTTTGTATTGTTGTGTATTTTGTATTGTACTGTATTGTATTTTGTGTTGTTTTTGTGTATTGTATTGTATTGTATTTTGTATTATTTTGTGTATTGTATTATGTTGTATTGTACTGTACTGTGGTATTGTACTGCATTGTATTTTGTATTGTTTTGTGTATTGTATTGTATGGTGTTGTGCTGTGCTGTCTTGTATTTTGTATTCTTGTGTATTTTGTATTGTACTGTCTTATATTTTGTATTGTTTTGTGTATTGTATTGTATTGTGTTGTGTTGTACTGAACTGTATTTTGTATTTTACTGTACTGTATTTTGTATTGTACTGTACTGTATTTTGTATTGTACTGTATTTTGTATTGTATTGTACTGTATTTTTGTTTTGCACTGTATTGTATATTGTATTGTTATGTATTTTGTATTGTATTGTGTATTGTATTGTATTGTGTTGTACCTTACTGTATTGTATTTTGTATTGTTGTGTATTTTGTATTGTGCTGTATTGTATTTTGTATTGTTTTGTGTATTGTATTGTATTGTGTTGTACTGTACTGTATTGTATTTTCTATTGTATTGTATTGAATTTTGTATTGTTTTGTGTATTGTTTTGTGTTGTATTCTATTGTACAGTACTGTGATATTGTACTGCATAGTATTTTGCATTGTTTTGTGTATTGTATTGTATTGTGCTGTGCTGTGTACTGTCTTGTATTTTGTAGTGTTTTGTGTATTTTGTAATGTTGTGTTGTACTGTACTGTATTTTGTATTGTACTGTATTGTATTTTGTACTGTTATGTATTTTGTATTGTATACTGTATTGTGTTTGTTACCTGTACTGTATTGTATTTGTATTGTTTTGTATTTTGTATTGTACTGTATTTTGTATTGTATTGTACTGTATTTTGTTTTTTTGTACTGTATTGTACATTGTATTGTTATGGTATTTTGTACTGTACTTGTATTTTGTATTGTATTGTACTGTATTTTGTTTTGTACTGTATTGTATACTGTATTGTTATGTATTTTGTACTGTATTGTACTGTATTTTGTATTGTTGTGAATTTTGTATTGTACTGTCTTGTATTTTGTATTGTTATGTATTTTGTATTGTATTGTACTGTACTGTGGTATTGTACTGTATTGTATTTTATATTGTTTTGTGTATTTTGTATTCTACTGTACTGTATTTTGTACTGTTGTGAATTTTTTATTGTACTGTATTGTATTTTGTATTGTTTTGTGTTTTGTATTGTGCTGTATTCCATTCCATTCCATCATACTTTATCTTTATTTTATTTCCTTATTTTATTTATGATTCTATTTTACAGGTAGTCCTCGACTTACGACCACAACTGGGGACCCCCCAACGTTTCTGTTGTTAAGCGAGACATTTGCCCCCCCATTTTACGACCTTCCTTACCCCCGCTGTACAGCGCATCTCTGCACTTCTTCCATCAGTCCCGTGGTTGCTAAGTGAATCTGACTGCCCCATGGACCCTAAATGAATTGTTGTAAGTCGAGAATTCCCATATTTGATTTTTATGCGAGGAAATATTTTATAATTTTAATGTTTGGTGTTCTTACTCCATCGTCATCTGGGAAACTAAGTCGAAACTGGAGAACCCGTTGCTGGCAAAATTCTCTTTGTACTGGCCCATCTTGATGGCTTCCAGCCATTCGTCAACCGTATTGAAACTGGAATAATCTGGAATCGTCCGGTCCAGCAAAGGAAGATTAATCCTGCAAGGTTAATCAAATTAAAATCCATTTCAATTTCAATTTGCCACCAGGCACAGGTAGTCCTCGACTTATGGTTGCAATTTCTGTCACTAAGTGAGACATTTGCTAAGGGCCTTCTGCCCCATTTTTACGACCGTTTCCTGCCACCGTTGTTAAGTGAATCCCTGCGGTTGAGATGCTCGTCACACGGTTGTTAAATGAACCCGGCTTCCCCACAGACTTCGGTCGCTAAAAGGGGATCGTGTGTCCCTACGACCGTCATAAATATGAACCAGGACCGCGGGGAGGCTGCGACGATCGTAAGTGTGGTGGAAAAAACGGTCGTACGTCCCTTTCTTCAGGGATGTTGTGACTTCAAACGGTCACTAAGCGAAGCGTTGTAAGTCGAAGACTACCTACACAATTGAACCAAACAAGGGAAATGAGAGATGTCACGGACTGAACACACTGAATGCCAAGAGAAGCTGTAGATATTTGGGGAAAATGTCTAGAAATTCAACAAATTCTAGAAATTGTGGCCTCTCAGGGCAAAACAGAAGGTGTGTGTGTGTGTGTGTGTGTGTGTGTGTGTGTGTGTGTGTGTGTAGTTTAAGGGGGAGAACCTTATTCCAGGTTTATCCCAACCTTGGTGACTCTCTTCAATACAGATATTACTAAACCCTTGGTAGATCTCCATGTTGGACCTCCAGCCAACCCACGTGAAGGAAGGTCCTTCAACCAATGAAGAAGACACAAACTCTTCTCCATGATCAAAGTCCAAGAGTTTGCTTCCAAGGAAGGTTCTCCAACCAGTGAAGAAGACTCAAAGTCTTCTCCATGATCAAAGTCTGTGAGTTTGCTTCCAAGGAAGGTCCTTCAACCAATGTTGAAGACTCAAAGTCTTCTCCATAATCAAAGTCTGAGAGTTTGCTTCCAAGGAAGGTCCTTCAACCAGTGAAGAAGACACAAAGTCTTCTCCATGGTCCAAGTCCAAGAGTTTGCTTCCAAGGAAGGTCCCTCAACCAACGAAGAAGACACAAAGCATCAATGTCTGAGAGTTTGCTTCCTTACCCTGAGGAAAGGGGTGCCATGGCTTTCAGGCTGTTGGGGTTTCGGATCATCTTGTCTAGGGTGTTGACAATCTGTCCGAATTTCGGCCGGTGGTTGCGGTCCTTCTGCCAGCAGTCCAGCATGAGCTGATGGAGAGCGCTCGGACAATCCATGGGCGGTGGTAATCGGTAGTCTTGCTCAATCGCATTGATTACCTGCCAATGAATGATCCATAATTTTACACCTCTTGAACCCTGTGTGAATTTTACGCTCATTGCTCCCGGCTTATTGTTATTTTGGTTCTACAGCTAGTTCTCGACTTAGGACTGTTCTAAGTTATGACTGATCCAAAAAAGAGGACTTACAACCCAAAGTTACAACCATTGGGCCCCCTCCATGGTTGTAACTAAACTTTGGGTCATACGTCGAGGACTATCTGTATTTCCAAAAGAGAATCAGCTGCACTCATCCACCATTTCATTGTATAAGAAGGGTTTTGGCAAGTTTGGAGAGAAAGGGATCTGAATAAAGGAGACTATGTGTAGCTCAGGGGTGAAATGAGGGGTATTTGGGGCTCACTTGAGCCTGCTTGTTGTTTGAAAGGGATTTGAGAACAAGAATTGCTCAAAATATAATGTTCAACCCTAGGAAGGCCCCAAATTTGTCCTCCAGCTTTGAGGACCATCTACTCTTTCAGACTTGCAAAATTGTATTGTTTGAAGACCAGTTGAAGTTATCTAAAAGAGAGGTTAGCTGGTGGAAAATGGTGCTTTAGACAACAAATTCCACCAAATTCCATCCAACCATTATTATGGCCAGAACCAGCATAGTTTAGATGAGAAAGAATTTGAGTTAGGAGAAACATTTGAGATTAAGGCCTCCTAGAAACATTGGAAGAATTCTCACAAGGGTTCCTTCTTCCTTTTTCCATAAGCAACCCATAATTTTCCATAAGAAACCCTCATTTTCTGCTCCCTATGTCTACAAGACATGCCATCATCAGAAGTTCCATCCATCTACAACCCCAAAGGTATTCCTCAGATGTTTCAAAGCTGTGACTTACGTCCTGATTGGTCATATCCCAATAAGGCCTCTCCCCGTAGGACGTTACTTCCCACATGACGATTCCATAGCTCCACACATCACTAGCAGAAGTGAACTTTCGATACTGGATGGCCTCAGGCGCCGTCCAACGGATCGGGATCTTTCCACCCTGTGAAGAGAAGGAGAAGAATTGGGTTTGAGAAGGATTGGATGTCCTACAGCAGGAGTCTCCAACCTTGGCAACGTTAAGAGCTGTGGACTTCAACTCCCCGGAATTCTGAAAGTTGAAGTCCACAAGTCTTAACTTGGTCAAGATTGGAGACCACCCTGTCCTACAGTACTTGTCTTCCGAAGAAGGGACAACGATTTCTCTTCGTTGTACGAGGAGAAAGACAGATTTATGAGGAAGGATGTCAACCCTCCGATGGAGAGTCAACAGCCCCCAGGTCTGGAGGTGGCTGATGAGGAAGAGGAAGAACAGCTGGGTCCAGTGCCTGATTCGCAGATGCACAGAAGGCAGAGGAGAGGAGAGCAGTGAAAATCTATAGGCCGGACCTCGGGACGAAAGAGCCACCGATGCTAGCGAAGCCCCATCCTAGCTCTGGGGATAAAAGGCAGGGGGCGGACATGAATAGGTGTGGCAGACAACTAGTCATCTCCCCGACGGACGGACCTGTTAGCAGAAGGTGTTAAGTGGCAAATCCTGGTTTGTCCCTTGACTTATCTCAGTTACCTTTCAAAGTCTTGGCCCACCAGCCCTCCTTCCACCCTCTTACCAGAGCGCTGGTGTAGGTGGGGTCCGAGGTGTCATCCTCCAAGAAGCGGGAGAGGCCGAAGTCCGAAACTTTGCAGACCAGGTTGCTGTTCACCAAAATGTTGCGTGCTGCCAAGTCGCGGTGGACGTAGTTCATATCCGCCAGGTACTTCATGCCAGCCGCGATGCCCCTGAGCATGCCCACCAGCTGGATGACGGTAAACTGCCCGTCATTTTGCTGAAGAGAAGGACAGGAAAAAGGCGTGTGAGATTCCAGGACAGGTGAAGGGAGGTGTGATCTGGCCACTGGGGTCGACGATCTCCTGGCCAGGAGACATGATTTCCTCAAAAATAAGTGCTCCTCAACCTTCTCTTCTTGATTCATTTGACTGACTTCAAAACATCGGAAGAGAGCTGGAAGGGACTCTGGAGGTCCTCCGGTCCAACCCCCTGCTCAAGCAGTAGACCCTCGACCATATCAATCAATCAATCAATCAATCAATCAATCAATCAATCAGAATAGAACTGGAAGGGGCCTTGGAGGTCTTCTAGTCAAACCCTAGATCGTGTCAATCAATCAATCAATCAATCAGAACAGAGCTGGAAGGGGCCTTGGAGGTCTTCTAGTCAAACCCTAGATCGTGTCAATCAATCAATCAATCAGAACAGAGCTGGAAGGGGCCTTGGAGATTTTCTAGTCCACCCTCCAGGTCAAGCAGGAGATCCTAGATCAAATCAATCAATCAATCAATCAATCAATCAATCAATCAAAATAAAGCTGGAAGGGGCCTTGGAGGTCTTCTAGTCCAACCCTCAGGTCAAGCAGAAGAGTCTAGATCATATCAGTCAATCAATCAATCAATCAGAATAGAGCTGGAAGGGGCCTTGAAGGTCTTTTAGTCAAATCCTAGATTGTATCAATCAATCAATCAATCAATCAGAACAGAGCTGGAAGGGGCCTTGGAGATTTTCTAGTCCAACCTCCAGGTCAAGCAGAAGAGCCTAGATCATATCAATCAATCAATCAATCAATCAATCAATCAATCAATCAGAACTGCCGCACCTCCCCTTGGGGGGGTGGTCCTTACCCGAAGGAAGGAATCCAACGAGCCGTTCTCCATGAATTCGGTGACTATCATAACGGGGGGGCTCTTCGTCACCACCCCCTCCAGGTGGATGACATTGGGGTGGTCAAACTGACCCATGATGCTGGCTTCGCTCAGGAAGTCCCTCCGCTGTTTCTCGGTGTACCCCGATTTCAAGGTCTTGATGGCTACGAAACTCTCCCTTTTCCCCGGCAACTTCAGGTGGCCGCTGCAGACCTCACCAAATTCTCCTGGGGTGGGGGGGGAGGAGGAGGGGGAGGCAGAAAAAGGCATTTATTTCTCCTGAAAACCCGCGTGTCTACATTTTAGGATTGAACTGGGGGGGGGTCCTTGGTGCTCCATTAGCTTGAGGGGTGTGGGGAGTTTGCAGACATTTAATGACCGAACTAGGGAATATTATCAGTGCTAGAAGGGAGTGAGGTTTGCAGAGAGGCCGAGGAGGAGGAGGAGGAAGACTGTGGGGTCCTCTCTGAGCTTGCTTGTTTTCTTGCGAGACGTTTCACGACCCAGCTAGATAAGATCATCAGTGCTAGAACTGAATGGGATTAGAGGAGGAAGAGGAGGAGGTGGTGGAGGAGAGGATTGTGGGGTCCTTGGTTCTCTCTTAAGTTTTCTAGTTTTCTTGTAGACATTTCATTACCTGAATAGGTAACATCATCAATGCTAGAAGGGAGTAGGGTTTGCAAGGAGGAGGAGGAGGAGGAGAAGGAGGAAGAGGAGGAGGAAAAGGGGAAGAGGAAGAAGGAAAGAGAAGGAACAAAGGGGAAGAATGGAGGAGGAGAAGGAGAAGGAAGAAGAGAAGGGGGAAATGAAGGAGGAAGGAGAAGGAGTGGAGGAAGAAAGGAGGAGGAGGAGGAGGAGGAGGAGGATTGAGGGGTCCTTGGTGCTGTCTAAGTTTGCTAGTTTTCTTCCAGACGTCTCATTACCCGAATAGGTAACTTCATCAATGCTAGAAGGGAGTAAGGTTTGCAGGGAGGAGGAGGAAGCGGGAGAGGAGGGGGGAAGGAAAAGAGGAGGAGGAGGAAGAAGAAAAAGAGGAGGATTATGGACTCCTTGGTTGGAAGTTTTCTTGCAGGTGTTTAATTAACCAAACGAGGCAACCTCATCCTGATGATGTTCCCTAGTTGGGTCGTGAAACGTCTTCGAGAAAACCCCTAAGTTCAGAGACCAGCGAGGACCCTTAATTTTTTCAGTCCCGTCTACAAAAGCTCAGTGCAAAACAGATCAATCACCCGGAGCACCCCGAGTTCCTGAAGTTGGCCTTACCTGCCCCGATCACCTGTTCGATTTTCACGCACGAGATGTCAATCTCCTTCGCAAATTCTCGGACGGCTTCGTTGGGATCCTCGTAGGTGAAGGGATCAATGTAGATTTTCATCCCCGGAGTAACTACTCAAAGGAGAAGAAGCCCATATGGGTCATTTGCTCAACCCTTGATGCTCCAGTTTAAGGGGGGGGAGTTCTGCATCCACAACAACAATCCTGTGCGGTAGGCCAGGATAAGATTGGGCACATTGGGGAAGATCAATTGAGCTTAACCGGGAGATTGCAAGCTGGCTAGTTCTTAACCCTCTTTCACAGAGGAAAAGCCAGCGCCCAATGGTGGTTTGGTGTCACACCAAGTGTGTTTTTATAATCCTGGTTAAACCCCGCCCCCGAACCTCATCTCACCAATCAAAACCCAAGCAGGGCGCAACAACTAGTGCTCTACTTATGGCCACAGTTCAGATAGATAGATAGATAGATAGATAGATAGATAGATAGATAGATAGATAGATAGATAGATAGATAGATAGATGATAGATAGATAGATAGATAGATAGGATAGATTAGATATGGAAGATAGATATGAATAGATAAATAGAAGATAGGTAGATTAGATAGATAGACAGATGAAGATAGATAGATAGATAGATAGATAGATAGGTAGATTAGATAGATAGACAGATGAAGATAGATAGATAGATAGATAGATAGATAGATAGATAGATAGATAGAGATAGATAAAAGAGATAGAGATAGATAGAGATAGAAGATAGATAGATATAAATAGAAGATAGATGACACAGATAGAGAGATATAGAGATAGATAAAAGAAAGAGAGAGAGAGAAAATAGAGAGATAGAGAGATAGAAGATAGATAGATATAATTAGATAGAACATAGATAGATGACAGATAGAGAGATAGAGATAGATAAAAGAGATAGATAGCTAGATAGATAGATAGAGCAATAGAAGATAGATAGATAAATATAAATAGATAGAAGATAGATAGATGACAGATAGATAGATAGATAGATAGAAGATAAAAAAGATAGAAGATAGATAGATAGAGTTAGAGAGATAGAAGATAGAGAGATATAAATAGATAAGATAGAAGATAGATAGATGACAGATAGATAGATAGATAGATAGATACATAGATAGATAGATAGATAGATAGATAGATAGATAGATAGATAGATAGATAGATATAGATAGATCGACCCCAGCGCCGTTGGAGCATTGAACCATCACTAAACGAAATTTCTGTGGCTTCCGTGGGACGGAGACAATGGGGGACGGGGGTGGGATGGGGTGTTTGTCCATGGCTGTGCAGGTTATCGCACCGACGTCAACCCGCTTGGGGAGTGAACGCTGCTCCTCCCTCCTGCCTGCCCCCCTGAACGCCCCCCGCCTTGCCCCCCTCCCCCAATAACCTATACATACTGTGGCCGCTGGTGTAATGCTGGAGCTTGTCGGTGTATTCCGAGTCGTTGCGCTCGAAGCCATGCCGTCTGGAAGGAGAGCAGCGTGCTGAACGGTAGGCAGACGGACTAGCAGAGCAGGGGGGCAAGGCTGGGATTCAGCAGTCTGTCCCCCCCTTCCCCACCGACGCCCCCTTAAGCCCTTCCTGCCTCCCCCACCTCCACCCCTTGCCCCGCGAGACTCAGCCGGTTCCCAAGTTGTAACTGTCGCAAGCAAAATCCGGCGAGGTTATGCGCGGACATCGGGGTGCCATTAACGAGCTTGCCCGATCCAACATGCATGCCCCCCCCACCGTAAGCTCGCGGATACGTAGAAGATAGAACCCGAGGGATGGAGGGGACCTCAGAGGTCCTCCAGTCCAACCCTCAAGGCAGGAGACGCATTCGGGGCAAACGGCTGTCCACTCTCTTCTTGAAAATATAATCTTATATAATCTTATAATCTTCCTGGGGACAGCCAGGAAGCTGGAGTAGAAAGGGGGAAAGCCAAACCACAAACGGGACCCCCCCCCCAAAAATGCAGGATATTCTAACCGTATTCTGAGATGATCCAGAAAAACAGAAGCCGGTTTAGAATATTCTGGCTTTTTTTTGAAAATCCCTCATTCCGGATTTCTGCCTACCTGTTGCAAACCAGGATGATAACCACCAAAGCGATGAGGAAGACAAGACCGGCCGCCGAGGAACCGATAATCAAAGGGAGCTTCTCCTGAATGCTGGTTTGATACTCGGCTGGAACGACGCGCAGAAAAAGAAAATGAAAGTCAGCCAGGTGCTACCTGCAAGGCGGGCCTCGGCAGAGAGCTGTTCCAGCTAGCTAGGAAGTCTTAGGAAAGGGAAGGTCAGGAGGGACCCAGGAGGTCATCCAGTCCAACCTCCATGCTCGGTGCAGGATTTTTAAATGAGTTCATGAAATCCTTATGGGAAAAGGTTGAAAGGATCCCGGGAGGTCATTCAGTCCAACCCCATGCTAGGTACAGGATTTTTAAATGGGATAACGAAATCCTTGTGGGAAAAAGTTGCCAGGGACCTGGGAGGTCATCCAGCCCAACCCCCATGCCGAGTCCAGAAACCCATTGATAAATCATTGACTTTGCTCGTCAGAAGGTCACAAAAAGGGATGACGGGATCCCACCCCCTCCCAGGATATGGCAACGGTCATAACCATGAGTCAGTTGCCAAGCATCCGAATTTTGATCGCATGACACACGGGGATAGGCCGCGACGGTCGTGAAGTGCTGTTGTAACTTTGAACGGTCACTAAATGAACAATTGGGGAGGGGGCAGGGGGCGGGACCCCCTGCTACTCACCTTCCGTCATCGTCTGGAAGTACATTTTCCCGCTGTAGCGTCCGTAGCCGGCCACTGTGCGAGCTCGCACCTGAAAGACGTAAATGGTTCCGGCTTTGAGGTTGGGGACGGTCACTGTATTGGTGAAGCTCTTGACCGCCGTGGCGTTGAACTCGCTCAGATCCTACGGGGGAAGAAAAAATAGCGACAACGGTTATTCCGGTAAAAGGAGGAAAAGAATGGAGAAGGGGACATAATCTTCTGCCAGAAAATAACATGGCTTGGGTTTCATCTAGCTTTGCCCCATCCCCACCCTTTCCGAATAGATAAGGCAGCATGGGGCAGAAAAATCAGAACCTTGGAATTTGGAGGGGTCCCCGGGAGGTCATCCAGCCCAACCCCGACTCAGTGGAAAAATACAAAGTGATATATATTGAGTCCACCGCCGGCTTAATCCCGTGAAGGGAGCCTATTTGTTTGTTTTTCCTCTGGGACAATCTTGGGAAAATCCTGGCCCTTTTTTTCTTAAGCATAGAATTTTATTGGTAAACATGTGTTTGAACCTTGTACGTTGATGTGGACTATAGACTAGATTCCAAAACGATCGGTTTCACCAAGGCCCCGAGATTAGTGCCTAAACCACATCACAATGGCACCACAATCCTAGCAAATTTTCCAACCGACATTTGCAAAAACGACAGTCTTGCTAAAAGGGCAAACACAACCTGGGTTTGTGTATGTGTGTAGATTTGCAAAAAGAAAAGAAAAAAAGGGGGGGGAAACATTGGAAAAATAGGAACGTTTCTCTTTTTTGCTGTGAGGAAGCCGGGCAGGGGGGGAAAAAGAGACTGCCAAATTCTGCAAAACAGCAGGATAAATTATGCAGCCTCAGCTGCCCCCGAACCCCCCTCCCCGAGTTGGTTTTTCTCCTGGCAATTGGAAAATAGGTCACCGAACGAATTATGCAGCTTTTGTAATCTCCGATGGGGAGGGTGCGTGGTGTCTCCATTTAAACACGATTTTAATTAGCCTTAAAAAAAAAATACACATCCTCGTGTCCAAAATCTATTTATTTCCTCGTGCAAATGGGGAAATCTTCTGTACCGTCCCCGGATAAACGTGGATTAATTCAGTAAACGTGTTTAAACACGAATGGCGGGCAGGATCTTTTACGGTCCATGTGAGATTATCTCCGTACGTCTCAAAATTGCTTTCCCCCAAAATAAACTGGACTTCCTTGGTTGTTGGGTTTTTTTTTCCCTTGAAAACATTTCGCTTCTCCTCCAAGAAGCTTCTTCAGTTCCCAGGAGTTTTGAAGAAGCTTCTTAGACTTTCCTGGACTTTCTGGTTTTTGTTTTGAAGATGTTTCACTTTTCCTCTAAGAAGCTTCTTCAGTTCCCAGAAGCTTCAGAAGACATTCTGAAGAAGCTTGAGGAGAAGCGAAATATTTTCAAGGAAAAAAAAAGAAGAAACTCCAGCTTACTTTTGGAACAAAGCACCTTTGGGACAACCATGATGGTATTTTTTTCTGGACTTTCTGGTTTTTGTTTTGAAGACGTTTCGCTTCTCATCCGAGAAGCTTCCTCAGTTCTGACCAAATGGTGAGGAATGGAAGGATTGATATTCCTTGCCGACAGCTGATCATTTGCATTCTTTTTAGCAAGCTCTGTTGAGGCCCCTTGGAGATTTATCGGTGTCCTCGTGGATCACCTGAGTTGTGCAAATGGGTGTGCAGCACTTCCACAGCACTCCCAAGAAAGTTCCACACCCATTTGCACGACTCAGATGACCCGGAAGACACCGATAAATCTCCAAGGGGCGTCAAGGGCTCTCTAAAAAGAATGCAAATGACCAGCTGTCTTCAAGGAATAGAAATCCTTCCATTCCTCGCCATTCGGTCAGAGTTGAAGAAGCTTCTCGGATGAGCAGCGAAATGTCTTCAAAGAAAAATCAGAAAGTCCCAGTTGCCTCTTGGGGGTGGTTGGGGGAGAGCACCTTTGGGACAACTATGATCCGGATGAGGGAGAATCTCCATGACAGAGAATAACAACGTTCATACGCTCAAGTAACCCATTCGTTCCTGGGAGATACCACGACCGATCAGTAATGGAGGCCGTCCTGAGAGACGGAGAAAGGGTAGGACTTTCTCATGCAGGCCACAATCCAAATACGGACAATCTCCAACTCCTTGGTCCCCTACGTCCTCCTTGATACCTTCTCATAGTACTGGAGCTCATAATCCAAGATGACCCCGTTGGGTTGGTCCGGTTGAGACCACGAGAGGGTGATGCTGTCCACCATCCGGCTGACCTGATGCATAATGGAGATCGCCGAAGGAGCTACAGGACAGAGAGAGAGAGAGAAAGGAGAAACTAATCTAAGCACCATCTTACGACCACAACCGAGCCCCCAAATGTCCGTCGCTAAGCGAGACGTCAGTCAAGCGAGTTTTGCCCCATTTTACGACCTTTCTTGCCACCGTTGCCAAGTGCGTCACTGCAGTTCGGTCATTAAGTGAATCTGGCTTCCCCTTCGACTTTGCTAGTCAAGAAGGTCGCAAAAAGGGATTGAGTGACCCCGGAACACCAGTTGTCAAGTGTCCGACTGTAGTTTCCCCCGACACTACGATGGTTTTAAGTGTTAAAAACGGCAATTTTTTTAGTGCCATTCTAACTTTGAATGGTCACTAAATGAACTGGTCAAGGACTATCCATATATAAATACATAATGGAGAGGGGGAACAGTGGGATCCTCAGAGTTGGACCTTAGATTCCCCAACTGTAGAGCAACCCTGTTTTGTTTTGTTTTTTGCCAAAGTGGTCAGAATGTGGCTTATCCCTGGCTTGTTGTGAAGCATTTGATATTCTCTATCAATTTGCAACCAGAGAATGGGGGGAAAAAAACCTCAACTGCATGCGTTTAAACACACGGATTTTAACCATCCATCCAGAAGTGGGATTCAACCGGTTCGGGAAAACCGCTAGGGCCAACCTACAGGTGAGCCTACCCAATCCCGTCCTATATTGCTGTGTTTTTGATGCTGCGCGCGCGTGCAAATTGTTGCATATTTTGTGAAGCCGCATGCATGCAAGGATGCCACGCGCACACACTCACATTTCCAGTGCTGGGCGAAGGGGGGGGGCTGTTGCTACCGTATGTGAAGCCCCCCACCCTCTGAATCCATCCCCACCTTCTGTTGCTACAAAAACTGCCTTTGATTGACAACCGTGCTGGGGGAGGAAGGGGGGGTGAGAAACGGGGCTTACGCAGAGGGAAAGAAAAGATCCAGGAGAAAAGCCCCCACACCCTCACCCCCCAAAAAGCCCCTTTGCAACAACAACAACAAAACCAGAGCTCCTTCAATCTCGGCGAAATTTGGATTAATTGTTCTTCCTCTGTTGCAACCTTCAGCTCTGGAACAAACCCACTTTCACTCTTTCTGGGTGGGGAGTGGGGGGAAAGGATGAAGAGGAGGGGAGGTGGGCTCGACTGTTATGGGGTGAGGAGGACACCCCCACCCACCCACCGGACGAATGCCAGCCAGCCTTAACTGCCACTATCTCCAGTTTCTTGAAACTCTGCCAAGTTCAATCCAACCAGACACACACACCCCCGGTGCCCCCTTCCTCCCCCTCCTCCTCCTCCTCCTCCTCCTCTCCGCCTGTCTGGTGTCAGCTGCCAATTCTGCAGAGTCAATCTCGGGGACAATCCCCCCCCTCTTTTTTTTTTCAAAAGAAGCCCCTCCTGGATGCATCAAAGCCTTAATCCTCTCGCCCCCAATGGAGCCCGGCACCCAAACAGGGGTCTCCGTGGGGGAGGGGGGAAGGGTTAGGAACAAACGAGATGAGGAAAGCAAGGGGGCAGCTGTGTTTTGGGGAGGGGGTCTCCTCTCCCTCCCCCTCCTCTTCTAACCTCCATTCAGAAGTTCTCTTCTCCCAGCATCAGGTTACCACTGAGAGCTGGAGAGGGGAAATTTTTTTTTGCTATTTTCAATTACCGTCCGGCAGACATGGCTCAGCTCGGAGGTCAGGTCAGAAATGTGGGAAGGGGAGCTTGGGAAGGAAGCCCACATGAGAAAAATTGGGGGGGGGGGTTAATCGAGGGTCTGGGAAGGCAGGAGGCCAGTGGGGAAGGGGGGAGAGAGAAATATTTGTGATTCAACCGTCAAGTTTCGGAGGCATACGGCTTTTCTGGGTAAGGTTGGGTCGCATGATCAGATTAACAGAGTGGGAAGGGACCTGGTAGGTCATCTAGTCCAACCCCGATGTAGAAATGATAGAATTGTAGCAGTATAGAAAGTCCTCGGCTTTATTAAGTTTTATATATATACAAAACAGAAATCTCATTTCTATTAACATCGGATAATGTTTTGTATATATATAAAACTTAATAAAGTATATTTAAAAAAAAGAAAAGAAAGTCCTTGGCTTACGACCGCCATTGGGATGGGGAAATGCTCCATGAACTGGGGTGCGGTTGTGAAGGGAGGTCTCACGTGGCAGGACCCGACTTAACGACCTTTTCTGTTGTTAAGTGGGACATCACGTGGCCGCAACTTGGGACCTGCGACTTTGCCCTTGGCGAAGGAAACGGCGTCCTTCGGCAGAGGGATTCCGGGTAAGGTTGGGTCGAATTACAGAAAGTCAATGGCTTGGAATAGCTTGCACCCTTCAATGATTATCATCATTATTAATATTTCTTAATATTATTAATATTAAGAAAAGGACTCCATAGGTCCGTGTGAATAGGTGCGCCATCAGGGAGATTTTGAGGAAGAGATTTGGACAATCAGGCTGGAATTTTTGAGCAGAGGGTTGGACTAGAAGAGGTCCCTTCCAGCTCTCTGATTGATTGATTGATTGATTGATTGATTGATTGATTGATTTGATCTAAGGTCTCCTGTTTAAGCAGGGGGTTGGACTAGAAGACCTCCAAGGCCCCTCCCCACTCCATTATTCCATATTCTGAGCCTGTCTATTCCCAAATGAATAACGTTTATTTGTTATTGGTTTTTTTTTCTTCCTGGCTGGCGGGTTTTTTGTGTTTATTGGTTCGATTTATTGATTGGTTCGATTTATTATGCCGCCCTTTTCCAGAGACTCAGGGCGGCTTACAATGCGTTAAGCAATAGCCTTCATCCTTTTTGTATATTTTATACAAAGTCAGCTTATTGCCCCCACAATCCGGGTCCTCATTTTACCTACCTTAGAAAGGATGGAAGGCTGAGTCAACCTTGAGCCTGGTGAGATTCGAACTTGCAATAATTGCAGGCAGATGGTGTTACTTAACAGTGCTTTAGTCTGCTGCGCCACCAAGGCTCTTAGTTGTTTTGTTTTGCAAACCTCCGGTTTTTATTTTGATTCTGTGGTTTTTGTTTGTTTTTCCCCTTTCTTTCTTTGCAAACCCAGATTTTGCAAACTCCCGGGAATGTTTATTATTTTTATTTTTATTTATTTTTATTTTTTTCCTTCCCTTCCTTTGCTTTCGGCTTGGTCTCCCCGGCTTCTGTTTGCAGCCCCTTTAATGAGGAGCAGGAAGGCAGCGGAGGGAATGGCCCGAGGATGCGGCCTCTCTAATTATGGAAGAATTAGCAAACCCGACAGTTACTCTTTAGGTTTAATGAATAGATACATCACAACAGGATAAGGATTGGGTTTTTTTTTTTGCAGCTCCGAAGGATAATAAGGCTGAGCCAGCTCGGAGCACGTGGGAAAAATGACAACCAGCGAGGTTCTCTCTCTCTCTCTTTCTCTCTCTCTCTGTGTGTGAGGTGGGGTTTTGCACTGTTTGTGCCTCCTGCTACGCACAAAACCACACACTTCCCCCCCTCACACTTCCTCAGCTGCGAAGGTGACAATGTTCACAGCTGCTGCAATAAACTCACAAGCGTCGGGCTTAATTGCAACAGGCAAGATGGAGGAGCAGAACGGGGGGGGGGACCGAGTCGGGGGCGGGGGGCGGGAGCCGAGCGCTCCCCCCATCCAGGCAAGGAAGCCCCCCCCTGCCCTCCCGCACTCCAGCCTCAAACCCGAGCGATCTGGGGTCCCTTGCACAGATACGCAGGCCTGCAAAATATGCATTTACGATAATAGGGTGGGGAAGGGACCTTGGAGGTCTACTAGTCCAGCCCTCTGCTTAAGCAGGAGACCCTAGATCATATCAATCAATCAATCAATCAATCAGAATAGGGTTGGGAAGGAACCTCAGAGATCTTCTAGTCCAACCTCCTGCTCAAAGAGAGCAGGAGGTTGGACTAGACCTATGATGGCGAACCAATGGCACGTGTGCCACAGTGGGCACATGGAGCCATGTCGCCTGGCACGCCAGCTCAGCTAGGGCGCGCATGCACGCACCAACCAGCTAATTTTTGGGCCTCCTGGGCCCACCAGAAGTAGGAAAACAGGCTGTTTCCTGCCTCCGGAGGGCCTGGGGTTGGGATGGGGAAGGCTGTTTTCACCCTCCCCAGATGCATAGAGAGGATCTGGAGCCAGGTGAGACAGAAAAACGGGCCTACCGGGACATCGCGTGCCAGGAGTGGGGTGGAGGGGAGTCGTGTGCGCATGCACGGGGCGGGGCGCATAGAATTATGGGTGTGGGCATGTTCGCGCGCGAATCTCTCCCCCCTCCCACCCACCCTTCCTGGCACGCGATGGCAAAAAGGTTAGTCATCACTGCCCTAGACCTTTTCAATGAATCAATTAATCAATCATTCGGAATAGAGCTGGAAGGGACCTCGGAGGTCTTCTAGTCCAGCCCCCTGCTCAAGCAGGAGATATCATTCCAGCCCTTAAGAACGAGGCAGAAAAACGGAAGCCCGGAACGAAATTTTTTTTAAAAAACAATCTTTCGAAAACCCGCAGCGAAGCCAGTGGTAACTTCTTACCCGCTTGGTTGGTGGTGATGTTGACGGAGGCAAACTGAGGCGAGAACGGGCTCTGATCCGTGACGCCGTTCACCGCCTGGATCTCGAAGGTGTACTGCGTGTGCGCTAAGAGGTCGTTGATGTAAACCCGCGGCTCGGTCAGGCCCAGCTGGCGCGGCGTGAATTGGACGTTGTCCCCGCAGCGGGTGCAGGCTCTCCGCCCCGAGCCGCAGCTCTTGCAGATGATGTTGTAAACCAGGTCCTCGCGGCCCCCCGAATCCCGAGGAGGGGTCCATTCCAGCATCAGGGAGGTCTCATTCACGCTGGAAATGACGGCCTGGGGGGCTGAAGGAATGGCTGCCAGGGAACCAAAAGAAAAAAGGAAAGGAGAAGTTAAATTACCTGGCTGTTGCACCTCGCTGGCCTCAGGGCAGCAATCTGGAGATGGGGGAGGGAGGGGGTTGGACTAGATGACCACATCCCTTCCAACTTTGTTAATCTGTAAGAATCTGATCGCCCTCCCCCCCTCCCTTCTGCCGCTTTGTCAGACGTACGTACTGGTGCACGGCATTTCCAGCGGGTCCGAGTCGGCGCGGTAATAGCTGTTCCGGCAGACGCAGTTGGTGGCTCCTTCGGACGTCGTCCGGCTGTTGATCGGACAGTGGATGCAGCTCTCATCCCCCTGGTTGGCTTTGAACGTCCCAGACGGGCAGCCTGGATAGGGGAGAGAGAGAGAGAGAGAGAGAGAGAGACCAATGGGTGGGTGGGTGCATTTAAAAAGAGGAGGGGAGAGATTCGGTGCGCCCGCTCCTCTGCCCGATTCATCGAACTAACCGCGTTGCTCAACCGTGGCAGCTTTTAAGAGGACTTCAACTCCCAGAATTCAACCCTGGCACCTTTTAAGACGTCGTGGACTTCAATTCCCAGAATCCCCGAGCTAGCTTGAAACTTTCGAGATCCAGGTTTGGCTGGCTGGGGAATTCTGGGAGTCGAAGTCTCCCAGAAGGTTGAGAAACACTGGATGAGTTCAACAGTTCTGTAAAGAATGGAGGTGGCCATCGTCCTGGGGAATTCTGGGAGTTGAAGTCCCACCCTAGAGAATTCTGGGGGTTGGAGTCCCACCCTGGAGAATTCTGGGAGCTGAAGTTGTCATGTCTTAAAGGTTGAGAAACACTGAATTAGTTCAACAGTTCTGTAAAGAATGTAGGTACCAATCATCTTAGAAAATTCTGGGAGTTGAACTTCCACCCTAGAGAATTCTGGGAGTTGACTTCCACCCTAGAGAATTCTGGGAGTTGAACTTCCACCCTAGAGAATTCTGGGAGTTGAACTTCCACCCTGGAGAATTCTGGGAGTTGAACTTCCACCCTGGAGAATTCTGGGAGTTGAACTTCCACCCTGAAGAATTCTGGGAGTTGAACTTCCACCCTAGAAAATTCTGGGAGTTGAACTTCCACCCTAGAGAATTCTGGGAGTTGAACTTCCACCCTAGAGAATTCTGGGAAGTTGAACTTCCACCCTGGAGAATTCTGGGAGTTGAACTTCCACCCTAGAAAATTCTGGGAGTTGAAGTCCTCGTGTCTTAAAGGTTGAGAAACACTGGATTAGTTCAACAGTTCGGTAAAGAGAATTCTGGGAGTTGAAGTCCTTGGAGGGGGGGGTCCTGCCAAGGAAGCCCCCTTCTCTTCCCTCCCTCTGCGTTGCAGAGACACCCTCCCCGCTCAGGAGGAAGTCAAGCCACTCCTTGAAAGCCCCCTCCCCATCCTCATCTCTCCCCCCACCCCACCCCAGAAACCTCTCTTCCCGACCTGGTTACTCATATCGGGAGGGAAGCAGACAGAAACTCCGAAGGGAAACATCAAAGCGGTGGTGGGAAAAAAATGGCATTACTCCAAGCTTACTCAGAGAAGCTCTGGGTGGCTTTGACTGGGGTTGAAACCAAGATAATCTTATCTGCGGTCTTAAAAAAAGAACAAAAGGAGGAACAGCTGACTTGGTTAGTAGCATCTCTCTCTCTCTCTCTCTCTCCCAACATTGTTAAAGGCAGGAGAAAGTCCAGATTAAGAAAGGAGAGGGAGGGGAGGTTAAGTGAGTTTTCTCCTTTTTCTTTTTTCTCCTTCTTTTTTCTCCTTCTCCTCCGTTTTGCAAACAACTCTACTTCCTTCCAGCACTGATGCTGTTCCCTAGTTGGGTCGTGAAACGTCCGCAAGAAAACCAACCAGTCAGAGAG